GTCTCTCTCTGGTCTCTCTCTCTGGTCTCTCTCTCTAGTCTCTCTCTGGTCTCTCTCTCTGGTCTCTCTCTGGTCTCTCTCTGGTCTCTCTCTGGTCTCTCTCTGGTCTCTCTCTGGTCTCTCTCTGGTCTCTCTCTGGTCTCTCTCTGGGGCTCTCTCTGGTCTCTCTCTGGTCTCTCTCTGGTCTCTCTCTGGTCTCTCTCTGGTCTCTCTCTGGTCTCTCTCTGGTCTCTCTCTGGTCTCCTCTGGTCTCTCTCTAGTCTCCCTCTGGTCTCTCTCCCTCTGGTCTCTCTCTGCCCTCTCTCTTGATTCTCTCTGGTCTCTCTCTGGTTTCTCTGGTCTCTCTCTGGTCTCCCTCTGGTCTCCCTCTGGTTTTCTCTGGTCTCTCTCTGGTCTCCTCTGGTCTCCTCTGGTCTCTCTCTGGTCTCTCTCTGGTCTCTCTCTGGTCTCTCTCTGGTCTCCCTCTGGTCACTCCTCTGGTCTCCCCTCTCATCTCTCTCTGGTCTCTCTCTGGTCTCTCTCTGGTCTCTCTCTGATCTCTCTCTAGTCTCCCTCTGGTCTCTCTCTGCCCTCTCTCTTGATTCTCTCTGGTCTCCCTCTGGTTTTCTCTGGTCTCTCTCTGGTCTCCCTCTGGTCTCTCTCTGGTCACTCTCTGGTCTCTCTCTAGTCTCCCTCTGGTCTCTCTGGCCTCCCTCTGGTCTCTCTCTGGTCTCCCTCTGGTCTCTCTCTGGTCTCTCTGGTCTCTCTCTAGTCTCCCTCTGGTCTCTCTAGTCTCCCTCTGGTCTCTCTGGCCTCCCTCTGGTCTCTCTCTGGTCTCTCTCTGGTCTCTCTCTGGTCTCTCTCTGGTCTCTCTCTAGTCTCTCTCTGGTCACTCTCTGGTCTCTCTCTGGTCTCTCTCTGGTCTCTCTCTGGTCTCTCTCTGGTCTCTCTCTGGTCTCTCTCTGGTCACTCTCTGGTCTCTCTCTGGTCTCTCTCTGGTCTCTCTCTGGTCTCTCTCTGGTCTCTCTCTGGTCTCTCTCTGGTCACTCTCTGGTCTCTCTCTAGTCTCTCTCTGGTCACTCTCTGGTCTCTCTCTGGTCTCTCTCTGGTCTCTCTCTGGTCTCTCTCTGGTCTCTCTCTGGTCTCTCTCTGGTCACTCTCTGGTCTCTCTCTGGTCTCTCTCTGGTCTCTCTCTGGTCTCTCTCTGGTCTCTCTCTGGTCTCTCTCTGGTCACTCTCTGGTCTCTCTCTAGTCTCCCTCTGGTCTCTTGCTGGTCGCAGCAGAGGCGGTGACAATGGATGGTTTTACGGAGGTCGCACATGCCGCCTGCAGTACCTGGTTTATATCATTCCTTTGGCTATAATTTGGAGTCTTCGGTCGAAACTGGTCAAAGGGATGAGAAACGATTCATATTACACAGTGGAACCATGAAAGGGAACATGTTAAAACTGGGGTCTGAATAAACCTAACACTAACCAGACCACAACACCTCTATGGCCCTGCCACTGACTCTAAGGGCTGAGAGCTGACTGACTCCCTCTGGTCTCTCTCTGGTCTCTCTCTGGTCACTTTCTGGTCTCTCTCTAGTCTCTCTTGTCCCTGTCTGGTTCCTCTCTGGTCTCTCTCTGCTCTTTCTCTGGTCTCTCTGGTCCCTTTCTGGTCTCTCTTTCTGGTCTCTCTGGTCTCTCTGGTCCCTCTGGTCTCTCTGGTCCCTCTGGTCCCTCTCTGTCTCATTCTGCTCTCTGATTGGATAATTGCCTGATCATGTTTATGCTCTCATGTGTGTTTCCAGCATAGAATGTATACAGATGAACAATGTCGCCATTTGACCAATCAGATGCCTTCATTTGCAGGGGAAATATACAGCTTTCCTTAGCAACCGTCTTAGCAACAGATCTGTCCCTGTTACGGTGCAAAACTGACTCAGCAGAACAAATGTCTCCAGCTCCTCTCAAATGATCATAATGAGGACAGTCCACTCCACTGTCCATCTGTATACGACCTCTGCTCTAAACTGCTCTACTCTGCTCTGCTCTACTCTGCTCTGCTCTACTCTACTCTACTCTACTCTACTCTACTCTACTCTGCTCTGCTCTGCTCTGCTCTGCTCTGCTCTGCTCTGCTCTACTCTGCTCTGCTCTGCTCTGCTCTGCTCTGCTCTGCTCTGCTCTGCTCTACTCTACTCTACTCTACTCTACTCTGCTCTGCTCTGCTCTGCTCTGCTCTGCTCTGCTCTACTCTACTCTACTCTACTCTACTCTACTCTACTCTACTCTACTCTGATTGGGAGTGTTTCCACCAGCCCTGGAATAAGGTATTTCTTTAGTAACCATGCTCTATCTATCCGTCAGTGATTGGCCAGAGGGCTGCTGGAAGCCATGGTTACCATGGAATTTACCCGGATCCTGGTTTGGAGTGGGTAGCTTGCTTGAATACAGTACCAGAGTAGAGTACAGTGCAGTACAGTAGAATACTCTATTCTACTGTACTGCACTGTACTCTACTCTGTACAGTACAGTAGAATAGAGTAGAGTAGAGGAGAGTAGAGTTGGGCTGGTGGAAATGCACTCAACCAGGTCTAACCCAGGTCTAACAGGTTTAAACACGTCCTGCTCTGTGTACTTCCTCCACAGAGCTCACTGCTCTGTGGAGGAAGAAATGGAACTAAAGGAAAATGTAGGAAACAGCAGCAGAGACCGCACACACACACTAGCATACTAGCATAAACAAACGCACACACACACACACACACACACAAACACTAGCATACCGACGCGCACACACACACACACACCCACACACACACACTAGCATACACAGACGCACGCACACACTAGAATACTAGCATATACACACTTACACACATGTTCAGACACACACACACACACACACACACACTCGCACAGTGAAGGGAAACAGATGCAGGGATGCAGAATCCGGCAGCAGTTTCCATGGTAACCCCGTCAGCAGCGCGGGCCGTACCATGTCAGAGGGCTTGAAGGGGTTCCCCTGAGCACTGATGCCTCCAGAGATACTGAAGCCCAGACCCGGGTTCTTCTCGATGCGCACACACAACTGCTGCAGAGACGACAACACACATCAACAACTTCAGATGCTCCAACAGATCCAACTCACAGACCCCAAAGTCAAGTCCCGCTAAAGCTGAGGTACGTACCTTTAAGAGGAGACATCATGAAGTACAATGTTTTTAAACGTTGTATGGCTTTAACACTCGTCGTTTTGATCGTTCTCATTCAAATTAATGGAATTCTGAGAAAAAATCCTAATAACAGTTTTTGTAGGATTTCTAATCTTTAAAAGTGGTGAATACAACTGAATACAGCATTATTAGCAACAGTGTGTTGCTATGGTAACTAGCACTTGATCCAGTTGGTTCAGAGTAGTCTCAGCTTGGAGCACGTTCATTTCATAAATATAATAATTTAGAAGTTACTGTATCTCTCTGGTCTCTCTCTGGTCTACCCTCTCTACTTTCAATTTCTGGTCTCTCTATTTATGGTCCCTCTCTCTTGTCTCTCTCTGGTCCCTCTCTCTGGTCTCCCTCTCTGGTCTCTCTCTGGTCTCTCTCTAGTCTCTCTCTTTATGGTCCCTATCTTGTCTCTTGTCTCAGGTCTCCCTTTCTGGTCTCCCTCTCTGGTCTCTCTGGTTTATCTCTGGTCCCTCTCTCTGTTCTCCCTCTCTGGTCTCTTTCTCTGGTCTCTTTCTCTGGTCTCTCTTTCTGGTCTCTTTCTCTGGTCTCTCTCTCCGGTCTCTTTCTCTGGTCTCCCTCTCTGGTCTCTCTCTGGTCTCTCACTGGTCTCTCTCTCTGGTCCCTCTCTCTGGTCTCCCTCTCTGGTCTCTCTCTTTGGTCTCTCTCTGGTCTCTCTCTGGTCTCTCTCTGGTCTCTCTCTTTGGTCTCTCTCTGGTCTCTCTCTCTGGTCTCTCTCTGGTCTCTCTCTGGTCTCTTTCTCTGGTCTCTCTCTCCGGTCTCTTTCTCTGGTCTCCCTCTCTGGTCTCTCTCTGGTCTCTCACTGGTCTCTCTCACTGGTCTCTCTCTCTGGTCTCTCTCTCTGGTGTCTCTCTCTGGTCCCTCTCTCTGGTCTCTTTTTCTGGTCTCTTTCTCTGGTCTCCCTCTCTAGTCTCTCTCTGGTCTCTCACTGGTCTCTCTCTCTGGTCCCTCTCTCTGGTCTCTCTCTGGTCTCTCTGGACTTCTGTATAGTCTGAAAGTTACGTACCTCAGCTTTAAATGACATAAGTCTAGCTGCAGTTTCAGACCTTCCTCTGAGCTCACCTGGTCTGTGTAACCATCTGTGCTCTTCTGGCCCTTGGTTTGCAGCAGGCAGCGCGCGCTCTGGGGCCGAGAGTGCGTGTGGCCCGTGGTGGAGGTACCATGTGTCCCGTGGTTCCCGTGGTTGCCGTGGTTACCATGGTTCCCGTGGAGCACGTTCTGGTTCAGGCTTTGGTTGGCGTGGTACTGGGGGTTGGTGGCGGGCAGGGCGGGGGGGTTCCCTGATGGGGACAGGACCATGGGTAAACCTGACCCGGGGTAGGCCTGTCCGGAGGAGGGGGGCGCTGGGAGCAGAGCACATGAGCAAGACACTTATGTTCATGTGGAGTCACACCAGAGACCGACAGATGCTCAAGACCACAGGCTTTACCATCAAACAACTGGACATTAAAGGTTCCATGGTACGCTTCTCCACATGGTACGCTTCTCTACTTCTCTCTGCTTTAGACATCGTTACAGCTATTTGCCCAAAGTAGTTTTTATATTGAGTACCTTTGCTCCCTCTTGAATCTTTGAGGCCAGTTTCTTTGCTCTCTCCTGAGTCTCTATTGGTAACTTTTTTCTCTCCTGAGTCCTTATATCTGGTACCTTTGCTCTCTGCTGAGTCCCTAAGTTCGGTACCTTTGCTTACTCCTGAGTCTCTATATCTGGTACCTTGGCTCTCTCCTGAATCCCTAAGTGCAGAATCTTTGCTCTCTTCTGAGTCCCTGAGGTCGGTACCTTTGCTCTCTCCTGAGTCCTTGAGGTCAGTCCCTTTGCTCTCTCCTGAGTCCCTGAGGCCGGTACCTTTGCTCTCTCCTGAGTCCCAGAGGTCGGTACCTTTGCTCTCTCCTGAGTCCCTGAGGTCGGTACCTTTGCTCTCTCCTGAGTCCCTGAGGTCGGTACCTTTGCTCTCTGCTGAGTTCTTAAAGCCTGCACCTTTGCTCTCTCCTGAATCCTTGAGGTCAGTACCTTTGCTCTCTCATGAGTCCCTGAGGCCGGTACCTTTGCTCTCTCATGAGTCCCTGAGGCCGGTACCTTTGCTCTCTCCTGAGTCCCTGAGGCCGGTACCTTTGCTCTCTCCTGAGTCCCTGAGGCCGGTACCTTTGCTCTCTCATGAGTCCCTGAGGCCGGTACCTTTGCTCTCTCCTGAGTCCCTGAGGCCGGTACCTTTGCTCTCTCCTGAGTCCCTGAGGCCGGTACCTTTGCTCTCTCCTGAGTCCCTGAGGCCGGTACCTTGCTGCAGGGTCTGGTACTGGGAGGCGGGTACCACGGACAGTGGCATGCCCGGCTGGTACGACACGCTCTTGTTCATCATGGAGTCGTACGGCGGCTGCGCGCTGACGCGGTGCGGCGCTCCGGACGACGCCGTGGTCACGATCATGTTGTGCGGCTGGTGGGAGGAGTTATGGCCACTCTGCAAGACAGCCGGAAGAACGGGCACGACGGGAGGAATGAGAAGAACGCTGATATGAAAGCAATGTACAGATGGTTTAAAGCAGAGAAAAGAGAGAGACCAGAGAGAGACCAGAGAGAGACCAGAGAGAGACCAGAGAGAGACCAGAGAGAGACCAGAGAGAGACCAGAGAGAGACCAGAGAGAGAGACCAGAGAGAGAGACCAGAGAGAGACCAGAGAGAGACCAGAGAGAGAGACCAGAGAGAGAGACCAGAAAGAGACCAGAGAGAGACCAGTGAGAGAGACCAGAGAGAGACCAGTGAGAGAGACCAGAGAGAGACCAGAGAGAGACCAGTGAGAGACTAGAGAGAGACCACAGAGGTAGACAGACCAGAGAGAGACCAGAGATAGAGCTCATTGAGAGACCAGAGAGAGAGACCAGAGAGAGAGAAGAGAGACCTCTGGTCAGGTCTGGACAATCATAAACCACACCTCTCTGTGAGAACATGAATGGACTCATTTGTTTAGTTTTGTGTTAGCTCAAAAATAGATCTAGAAGTTTAACATTATTATTGTGGTTTGGACCAAGACCAAGGACCATGTCCAAGAAATGTCCCTGATAGATATGGGTTCCATGTACCTGTAGTCTCTAGATACCTGTAGTCTCTAGATACCTGTAGTCTCCAAGTACCTGTAGTCTCTAGATACCTGTAGTCTCCAAGTACCTGTAGTCTCTAGATACCTGTAGTCTCTAGATACCTGTAGTCTCCAAGTACCTGTAGTCTCTAGATACCTGTAGTCTCCAAGTACCTGTAGTCTCTAGATACCTGTAGTCTCCAAGTACCTGTAGTCTCTAGATACCTGTAGTCTCTAGATACCTGTAGTCTCTAGATACCTGTATAGTCTCTAGATACCTGTAGTCTCTAGATACCTGTATAGTCTCTAGATACCTGTAGTCTCTAGATACCTGTAGTCTCTAGATACCTGTAGTCTCTAGATACCTGTAGTCTCCAAGTACCTGTAGTCTCTAGATACATGTAGTCTCTAGATACCTGTAGTCTCCAAGTACCTGTAGTCTCTAGATACATGTAGTCTCTAGATACCTGTAGTCTCCAAGTACCTGTAGTCTCTAGATACCTGTAGTCTCTAGATACCTGTAGTCTCCAAGTACCTGTAGTCTCTAGATACCTGTAGTCTCTAGATACCTGTAGTCTCCAAGTACCTGTAGTCTCTCGCTAGTCTCTCTCGTTTCTCTCTGGCCTTTCTCTGATCTCTCTTTTCTGTCTAAAATGGCTAAAGAGTCAGTCGTCTCCTGGTACCTGTAGTCTCCTCGTACCTGTAGTGTCCTGGTTCCTGGAGTCTCCTTGTACCTGTCGACTCCTGGTACCTGTAGTTTCATGGTTCCTGGACTCTCATGGTACCTGTAGTCTCCACGTACCTTCTTGACGAGGTTGTCCGGGGGCACGTCTCTGCGTCCCAGCGAGTACGGGACCCACTGGTTTCCCGAGGACACGGACTCCTGGTCGTTATCCAAGATGGCCGACTGCTGAGAGGGCGTCTGTGGGAAACAGAGAGAGAGCGAACCATGAGCGTCACCATCGACCGTCACAGCTGGTTTCTGACCGGATTGTGTCGGGAATATTTGAATCCAAGCGAGAATTCTGGAGATGTATGACCCTTTTCTGGTCTCAAATATCGAGTTCATATTTGCATTGCTTGTCTTGAGATTACAAGCAATGCATGTTCTCTCTCTATGGTTTCTCGCTGGTTTCTCTCTCTGGTCTGTCGCTGGTTTCTCTCTCTGGTCTCTCTCTATGGTTTCTCTCTCTGGTCTGTCGCTGGTTTCTCGCCCTGGTCGGTCTCTTCAACCTTGACGATATTCTGTTACTGGTCTCTCTGTTCCCTCACTGGTCTGACTTTGGTCTCTCTGGTCTCACTCTCTGGTTCTCTCTCTCTTGTCTCTCTCTCTCTCTGGTCTCTCTCTCTTTGCTCTCTCTCTCTGGTTCTCTCTGATCTCTCTCTGGTCTCTCTCTCTCTGGTCTTTCTCTCTCTCTCTCTGGTCTTTCTTTCTGCTCTCTCTCTCTCTCTCTCTCTCTGGTCTTTCTCTCTGGTCTCTCTCTCTCTCTTTCTCTCTGGTCTCTCTCTCTCTCTCTCTCTCTCTGGTCTTTCTCTCTGGTCTCTCTCTCTCTCTCTCTCTCTCTGGTCTCTCTCTCTCTCTCTCTCTCTGGTCTTTCTCTCTGGTCTCTCTCTCTCTCTTTCTCTCTGGTCTCTCTCTCTCTCTCTCTCTGGTCTTTCTCTCTGGTCTCTCTCTCTCTTTCTCTCTGGTCTCTCTCTCTCTCTCTCTCTCTGGTCTTTCTCTCTGCTCTCTCTCTCTCTCTCTCTGGTCTCTCTCTCTCTCTTCCTTTCTGTTCTCTCTCTCTCTCTCTCTCTCTGGTCTCTCTCTCTCTCTCTCTCTGGTCTTTCTCTCTGCTCTCTCTCTCTCTCTCTCTCTCTCTGCTCTCTCTCTCTCTCTCTGGTCTTTCTCTCTGGTCTCTCTCTCTCTCTTTCTCTCTGGTCTCTCTCTCTCTCTCTCTGGTCTCTCTCTCTGCTCTCTCTCTCTCTCTCTCTCTGGTCTTTCTCTCTGGTCTCTCTCTCTCTCTCTCTCTCTGGTCTCTCTCTCTCTCTCTCTCTGGTCTTTCTTTCTGCTCTCTCTCTCTCTCTCTCTGGTCTTTCTCTCTGGTCTCTCTCTCTCTCTCTCTCTCTCTGGTCTATCTCTCTGGTCTTTCTCTCTGGTCTCTCTCTCTCTCTCTGGTCTTTCTCTCTGGTCTCTCTCTCTCTCTCTCTGGTCTTTCTCTCTGGTCTCTCTCTCTCTCTGGTCTTTCTCTCTGGTCTCTCTCTCTCTCTCTCTGGTCTTTCTCTCTGGTCTCTCTCTCTCTCTCTCTCTTTCTCTCTGGTCTCTCTCGGCTGAGAAGCACATGAGGCGATGGTGTGTACTCACAGTGTTGTGGTTCGGAGGAGCAGGCAGTGGCAGCCAACGGCCAGCAGGGGGCGCATGCTTATTGTTATTGTGAAGGCCTAAGTTCCCCCCGCCCTGACACAGCGTGAGCATGTTGTGCTTTAGGACAGCGCTCTGATTGGAGGAGACAACGGCACATGACATGAATGGGAGGGGCTGCAGCGAGGTGACGTCACACTGTGAGCTCACAAACAACAAGAGACATTTATAAACAACAACAAAACAACAACAAGAGCAGTGCGGCTGAGTTTGGGTTAGCTCTAATCCTCATGGAGTCGCTCTCTGGTCTCTCTCCAGTCTGTCTGTGGTCTGGCAGTCTCTCGCTAGTCTCTATGGTCTCTCTCTGGTCTCTCTCTAGTCTGTATGGTCTCTCTCTGGTCTCTATGGTCTCTCTCTGGCCTCTCTTCATTCTCTCTCTGGTCTCTCTCTGGTCTCTCTCTGGTCTGGCAGTCTCTCTCTGGTCTCTCCAGTCTCTCTCCGGTCTCTCTCTGGTCTCTCTCTGGTCTCTCTCCTGTCTCTCTCTGGTCTCTCCAGTCTCTCTCCGGTCTCTCTCTGGTCTCTCTCCAGTCTCTCTCCAGTCTCTCTCCGGTCTCTCCCTGGTCTCTCTCTGATCTCTCTCTGGTCTCTCTCTGGTCTCTCACTGGTCTCTCTCTGGTCTCTCCCTGGTCTCTCCCTGGTCTCTCTCTGGTCTCTCTCTGATATCTTTCTGGTCTCTCTCTGATCTCTCTCTGGTCTCTCTCTGATCTCTCTCTGGTCTCTCTCTGGTCTCTCCCTGGTCTCTCCCTGGTCTCTCTCTGGTCTCTCCCTGGTCTCTCTCTGGTCTCTCCCTGGTCTCTCTCTGGTCTCTCTCTGGTCTCTCCCTGGTCTCTCTCTGGTCTCTCCCTGGTCTCTCTCTGGTCTCTCTCCGGTCTCTCACGGAGCGTGGTGTATTTTCCCATATTACATTTCCATTTCTATTCCTCTTAGAAACCTGTGCTGAGATTGTGGTGTGTAAAACTAGTCCGTGTGACCATGTGACTGCAGCAGACAGAGTGAGGAGAACATGCATCTGGACAGTGACATGTGAACACAAATGTCTGTTTTACCCTGAAGGTAACGGAAGGGTTTAACATTTCCATTAAGGTCTCTTTCTGGTCCCTCTGGTTTTTCTTTCTTGACTCCTCCCCCTGGTCTCTCTCTCTCTAGTCTATCTCTGGCCTCTCTCTGTATCTGGTCTCTCTCTGGTCTCTCCCTGGTCCCCCTCTCTCTGTCCGGTCTCTTTCTGGTCTCTCTCTGGGTTCTCTCAGGTCTCTCTAGTTTCTCTCTCTGGTCTCTCCCTGCCCCCCTCTCTCTCTGGTCCCTCTCTCTCTCTGGTCTCGCTCTGGTCTTTCTTTTCGGTCTGAAAAAGCTGATCTAGAGATGCAGAGGCCAATAATTCATGCATGTGAAAACAAGTGATAGAAGCAACTGTTTTAGAGCCAGGACCATGGATTTAAGTTCAGTTTGAATGATGTGGTCTGAAAGTTACGTTCCCTAGCTTAAATATGACAAGACATTCTCAAAGTCTCACAAAGCTTCGAAACCGTCAAATGCACATGAGACCACTGCGGACTCTTTAGTGACTGTATTTGCCCTCGGTCCTCCGTGTTGAGAGCTCAGTTGTGCCAAAATGCCTGTTTACCCGGTCCACTCTCTTGGCCTCCATGTGGCGGAGCATCTCTCTTTCTGGTATCTCTCCGGTCTCTCCCTGGTCCTTCTCTCTGGTCTCATTCTCTGGTCCCTATCTCAAGTATCTCTGTGGACTTTCTCTCTGGTCTCTCCCTGATCTCCCTCTGGTCTTTCTCTGGTCTCTCTCTGGTCTCTCTCTGGTCCCTCTCTGGTCTCTCCCTGGTCTCTATCTGGTCTCTCTCTGGTCTCTCCCTGGTCTCTCCCTGGTCTCTCCCTGGTCTCTCTCTGGTCTCTCGCTGGTCTCTCTCTGGTCTCTCTCTGGTCCCTCTCTCACTCTCTGGTCTCTCCCTGGTCTCTCTCTGGTCCCTCTCTCACTCTCTGGTCTCTCTCTGGTCTCTATCTGGTCCCTCTCTCACTCTCTGGTCTCTCCCTGGTCTCTCTCTGGTCCCTCTCTCACTCTCTGGTCTCTCCCTGGTCTCTCTCTGGTCTAGAGATGTGAGATAGAGGCTAAAAACTCATGCATGTGAATAATGTGAAAAAGTGATACTGTTTCGGAGCCAGGACCATGGACTGGTGTGCTCTGATGGTTTGGTTACGCTCGGCCTTCAGTTGTGCCAAAATGCCTGCTCACCCGGTCCAGCCTCTTGGCCTCGATGTGGCGGAGCAGCTGCTGTCTCCAGTCCGGGGGCATTTTAGAGGGGAAGTCCTCGGGCTTCTGTGGGACCGCGGGCCGGACCTTGGCCCCGCTCTCCTCGGCGTTGGGCTTCTCGGGGCACGTGGCCAGAGTGTAGTCCGGGGGCATCTTCTCCAGGAGCGCGGCCATGGTGGGACGGGCAGAGACGGGCCGGATCTGGGGAGAGCACAGAGGGAGGTGAGACCAGAGAGAGACCGGATCTGGGGAGAGGCGAGCACAGAGGGAGGTGAGACCAGAGAGAGACCGGATCTGGGGAGAGGCGAGCACAGAGGGAGGTGAGACCTCTGTGCACAGAGGGAGGTGAGACCAAAGAGAGACCTGGTCCAGACTGGGGGAAGCACAGACGTTCCTAAGAGTGAGACCAGAGAGAGATCAGAGAGAGAGAGAGACCAGTAAAGACCAGAGAGAGACCCGAGAGAGACCAGAGAGAGACCAGAGAGAGACCAGAGAGAGACCGAGGAGATGGAGAGAGAGAGAGAGTTTTGGATTATTGGGAAAAATGTGTTATTTTGATTTCCTGCATAAGAGAATGGCTGAGTGTACAAACTAGCTGACCTGATGCTAACTTGCTAGCTCAATGCTAACCAGCTAGCTCAATGCTAACCAGCTAGCTCAATGCTAACCTGCTAGCTCCTCTAGCTCAGTAACCGTTTGTGTCACTCACTGTTTTGAGTTTAAAATGTGATCTTGGTGTTTATTATCTTTGTAAATCCAGATAGAAGTATAATCCTTATATGGTCAAGCCGTAAAAGGACCGACCAATCAGGAGCCTTCAGTCCCTCAATGAAGCTTTAGCAGAGAGAGCAGCTCCTGATTGGCTCTTGACAGAGAAATCCTCCAGCTCTGACCAAGAACAGGATACTGTGGAGTCGTTCCTCCTCTGTCCTTTTGTGTAAATCGTGCTAAATAAATATATTTCCTTCTTCCTTTTGACATCAGTTGAAGAAACGCCAAATGACGACTCTCCACAGAAGAAACCAGAGTCAGTGCTGATCCAGGACACTCTCTGCCCCTAATGCACACATGGCTCTATGGAAGTCTCCCCAGAAGCATTTATATCATTTCATATTTTGCCTCAATAATACCGCCACCTAGTGGTGAAACGAGAAGTGGAACTAATAATCTAATTCAGTTTTGACCTGACCCCGATTCAGGGCGCACTCATTCAGCGTCTAAAGACTGCCGCATTATTTCGCACTCTCAGGTAAAAATCATAAAGTGTGAATTTGTAACATAATAAAGCGAGTAGCTTTCTTTTTTAAGAAAACACTGAGACTGAAGCCGTGTATTTTGTGACCAAGATTTCCTGAGGAGGCTACATTGTTATCTTTGCATTTGTGTGTTCGAACAGTTTGATTCTCTGATCTGTGTTGGTGAATCGACAGCTTTGTAAAGTCCTCAGATTCTACAAAACTTATCTTGAAATGTCTTCTGTTTTCAATCACAACAGTAGTTATCTCTGATTCTGATTTCGGGCGATTTAAAAATAAATTGAATTGAGAATCTCCAGAAAAAGCACTGACCTCTTCAGACCCTTCAACTCCAGCCGCAAGAGGCAATGGACGGCCCTGAAAACACATCCCGAGCTGCAAAGACCCGCTCGTTTCCGCCTCTTCACAAAACCCTCTAAAAATAGCGGCTGCGACTCATCGTCACGGAGACGAGGAGAAAAATGAAAGTCTATTTTAGGGTCGAGTCGACAGAACGAGCTCAGGGAAGACTGGCGAGAAGCAGAGGACGACGGAAGGACCAGGGTCACAGCGGCGAGGCCAGAGCCGCCGCTGTGACGCTGCTTTTACTCAGCGGAGCAGTCAATTTGACGGCTTTTTGATTGGAAGTGTAATTCGAACCTTATTGGTTTTTATAACTTTGTGACTCTTTACTTTATATAATTATTATGTCATTATTTTGATGAAATTACATGTTATTTTAAAATGTGAGTAATTTTACCTAAAATGTAACACAAAACAAAATACAGAGTAAACACTAAAACCAAATAGAGGCCGACAACAAGAACAAAAACAGACAAAGACTGAAGACACAGGGTCTAAAAACAAGACTCGGGAGCAACACGTGAGGGAAGGTAAACAGGAAGTAGAACTGAAGACAATTGCGCCATTTTCGGTTGCGTTCTTTCTATGACAGTAAAAGCCCATTTTGTCAAGGTGCCGGTTCTGGACCGGGTCTGGTTCAGTTTGAACCCAGGTTGGACCCTTTTTATGCCAAATGTAACACGTACATTACTCCATTGTGAGATCAATAACGTTCTTATCTTTTCTCTTTTCCACCAGAGGAGAGCGAGTGCTGGTTACCATAGCAACACACGGTTTTATGTCAGAAGATAGCATTTGGACGTTAGCATTAGCGTTCAACAAACGTTTTTGACTGTATTTCAAGGAGTAAAATCCAATGAAAAACCAGAATGAAAATTGTGGGAATTTCTCAGAACTCATTGATTCGAATGGGAGCAGTCAAAATGAAGGCTCTGGGAGTTCTGGAGTTAACAGTGTGATAGTTCCTACATTTAACACGCCACTTTTGTCTCATAGATTACAGTCTTGTGCTCACGAAGGACGCTACCCTCTGTTTGTAAACGTATTCTTTCCACACCATCGTAAAAACGGATCATCTTTAAACCAATAGAACAATGTATTTAAAGTCACATCTCGATAACATTCACTCAGTTCATGAAAAAAAGCTCAAAGTTAAAACTGAAAATATACAACGTTTATGTGACCGGTTCCTTCATGCAGTCGTCATCCAGAGGAACCACAGAGACACAGGGAGAACATGCAAACTGCACCCAGAGAACTTCAAAATGGTGGAAAAGTGAAACGACTGCAGCCGTCGGAAAAAAGTCGAGCTCTGTTTCCTTTGACACTAGTTTTAGTCCAAAGGCGGCTTTTACTTTACAGAAGATACACTACGTTTCATACAAGTGAAATAAAATGAACTCTGTCTGGGTCTGAACCATCGTCTGAGCTCTGCTGGTGTCCATGAGAGTCTGTAGTTTCAGACCAGTGAAGAGAGAACACACTTTAACTCTTGAAGGAGAAGCTCGATTGTCCAAAGCAGAGTGTGAAACCGGTTCCAGAAAGGGCCGGTGTGGAGTCTCGTGTGCTCCTGCTCCGGTTGGAACCATAAAGCCTGCAGCCACAACGGCACTTTGAGGACTGGTTTGACACCCATGGTCCAAAGGAAGTTCTGAGCCTATTGAGCACACAGTCCCCACTGAATGAGGCTCTAAGAACACACTGACGTTTCATCATGAGATCTCCAGTACTGGCTGCATAAGCACGAGATGAGCATGTAAAGAGTGCTGGCCCTAAGATCGACCCCTGGGGCACCCCTCCAGAGATCACTATAATGAATATTACAGTCACAAGTCAGTTGGTGTGACATCAATCGTGGACTGTGTTATTGCGTACTTCGAGGATGTGTGATTTTATGTGGGAAGTGTTGCTGCTTGAACTCATCTCCACACGGACTAGAGGCCACCCGCGGTACTGCAGCCTGAATCTGCATGGACGAGAGAGATTTGTGCATAGACCTAAATGTTCATTAAAACAGCTCTTCCTCAGCTGAACCCACACCAGTCACAAAGGAGGATTTTATCATTATTGTAGTGTCTCTTGTCATCCTGATTTTTTTATTTTTTTTAATCTGTTTTCTATAAATCCACACATTTGTGCAACAAACACAGCTCTCTTTTGTCCTGCTCTTGCTCTCGCTCTGATTGGTCAAAACACTCCTATGGCAGAACCACTGCACAAGACCAGGAGAACCAGAGCCAGAACATGTCACTTCTAGTAATGTTTTGGACGTTGATGGTGCGAGCCTGAGCCAATGAGCAGAGGTTATGGACATCTCGGACTTTCGCACTGGCTACGTTAGCATATGTTCTATCTCTACAATTCCACAGTGATCTATCAAACCAGTTCTTGGTCACAAGGGACAGAGGGCTAAACAGATGATTTTTTTTTTTTTTTTTACATGACCACAGATATCAAATACGTTACATTTTTTGTGCATATCTTTGAGAAAAGTGGACACCTCAAAAAACTCTGCAAAGATTCTAACCGAGGTCAGACACCAGATACAACTGAACATCGTCGATTGGAACTGCTTCACCTTTCCACACTTTTCGTTCTTTTTTTTTTACACAAATAGAAACCACCGACGACAACACAACAGAACACACAAAGTACACGTCACTACGGCAACAGCACACAGCCCTGACGCAGCAGAGGAAGAGGAGGAGGAGGTCGGCTCGTTCCGTTCAGAGCTTTAAACGAAGCAGAATTCACCACATCGTGTTTATTTGTGTCTAATTTAATATGACTTGGATTCAGGTCTGAGAGAAACAGCACTGTCTTTATTAAAGCTGGGGTCCGTGACTTTCAAACCACCGCCATGGAACTCTGTGATAAAAATCCATGTCACTAGGTACTGCCTCGGATTGCTTCTATCACTTGTTTTTTTATAGGGGACAGACCAGAGAGAGACCAGAGAGAGACCAGAGAGAGACCAGAGAGAGACCAGAGAGAGACCAGAGAGAGACCAGAGAGAGATCAGAGAGAGACCAGAGAGAGACCAGAGAGAGGCCAGAGAGAGACCAGAGAGAGACCAGAGAGAGACCAGAGAGAGACCAGAGAGAGACCAGGGAGAGACCAGAGAGAGACCAGAGAGAGACCAGAGAGAGACCAGAGAGAGGCCAGAGAAAGACCAGAGAGAGACCAGAGAGAGACCAGAGAGAGACCAGAGAGAGACCAGGGAGAGACCAGAGAGAGACCAGAGAGAGGCCAGAGAAAGACCAGAGAGAGACCAGAGAGAGACCAGAGAGAGACCAGAGAGAGACCAGGGAGAGACCAGAGAGAGACCAGAGAGAGGCCAGAGAGAGACCAGAGAGAGACCAGAGAGAGACCAGAGAGAGACCAGAGAGAGACCAGAGAGAGACCAGAGAGAGACCAGAGAGAGACCAGAGAGAGACCAGGGAGAAAGACTCTTTCTATTGGGATAGCTTTAAAGGAACATAATCGATAGTATTTATCAGTATCTATGTTGAAAGTGTTGGATTCTGCTGCGTCGCGACTCAAACCAAACGGAGCCAAAGTCTGGTCCAGATCCTTCTGTTGTTTCACTTACACTTTTCTCGGCCTGCATCACCTGAGCCGAGTACGAGCCGCTCACATTAGAGCCGGCGTTTAGAGCACTCCAATCCCGACTTTGCATCTACAAAACCAGAGCAGAGGCAGTGGGTATGTGTGTGTGTGTGTGTGTGTCTGTATGTGTGTGTGTGTGTGTGTCTGTATGTGTGTGTGTGTGTGTGTGTCTGTATGTGTGTGTGTGTATGTGTTTGTGTGTGTGTGTGTCTGTATGTGTGTGTGTGTGTATGTGTCTGTGTGTGTGTGTGTGTGTCTGTATGTGTGTGTGTGTATGTGTCTGTGTGTGTGTGTGTGTGTAACACACAAAAATCCAGAATCCAGATATGACTGAGCCATACAAGGATTGACCAATCAGATGCCTTCATTTCCAGGAGAAAACTCCATAGCAACCGTCTTAGCAACACACAAGCCCCGGTTTTGGCGCCAAGCTAACGCTGTCGGAACAAATGCCCAAAGAAGGAAATTGGCTGCAGCTAGCATACTGTATGTTCAAATCGGCTTCTCCCGCATTCGGGCAAACACTGTGGTGATGTCACACTGTGGTGATGTCACACTGTGGTGATGTCACACTGTGGTGATGTCACACCTTGGTGATGTCACACTCACCTGCGACGCGCCGTACGTCTCGGTGCTGTAGCTGCGTGCCGAAAGAGGCCTGCGCTGCGTCAGGCTCTTGGTGGGGTACCCGATCATGGGCTTCTTCTGCTCCTGGAACCCGCCGTAGTCGTCGTCATAGCGACCGTTGCGCTTGTTGTGCAGCATCTGCGTCTGGGAATCGGCCATGTTGGCGAGCGACTGGTCCATGAGCGTGGAGTAGGCGAGCGCACGGCCGTAAAGCGGGGGCTCCATCTGCAGAGAGCGGCTTTAGAGCGGGCTCACAACACACTCCACTCTGTCCCAGTCCTGGGTCTACAGCTTCAGTCCTGGGTCTACAGCCTCAGTCCTGGGTCTACAGCCTCAGTCCTGGATCTACAGCCTCAGTCCTGGATCTACAGCCTCAGTCTTGGATCTACAGCCTCAGTCCTGGATCTACAGCCCCAGTCCTGGATCAACAGCCTCAGTCTTGGATCTACAGCCTCAGTCCTGGATCTACAGCCCCAGTCCTGGATCAACAGCCTCAGTCCTGGATCTTCTGCCTCAGTCCTGGAGTTTTTCCTCACCGATGCAGGGTCTAAGGACAGTGATGATCCAGGACATTGCCCCTATGTGTTTTTTATCATTGTATTTCCTGTCTTTGATCTGTTTGATTCTCTAATCTTTGTCGGCGAATTGACAACTTTGTAAAGAAAACTAGCGTTGTGATTTAGGGCGATACAAAAATACATTGAAATATGACCAACACAGGCATTATGAGTTTTGTCAGACTGGACCAGAGTAGACTGAGCCTCCGACTGGACCAGAGTAGACTGAGCCTCAGACTGGACCAGAGTAGACTGAGCCTCCGACTGGACCAGAGTAGACTGAGCCTCCGACTGGACCAGAGTAGACTGAGCCTCCGACTGGACCAGAGTAGACTGAGCCTCAGACTGGACCAGAGTAGACTGAGCCTCCGACTGGACCAGAGTCTGAGCCTCCGACTGGACCAGAGTAGACTGAGCCTCCGACTGGACCAGAGTCTGAGCCTCCGACTGGACCAGAGTAGACTGAGCCTCTGAGCCTCCGACTGGACCAGAGTAGACTGAGCCTCCGACCGGTTTGGGAGAAACACAGTAGGGGGAAAACCGAGGCAACCTAAGAGTGGTATAAATCTGATTCTGGATGTGTGTGACCAGGATGAGACCAGGATGAGACCAGGATGAGACCAGGATGAGACCAGGTGGAGTGATGGAAACATGAAGAAGACAGGAAAGTGCTTTACCACAAGCTGACGCAGACCAGTGGGGGACAGGCGCTTGGACAGCTGGGACCGGGATAACACAGAGAACCACACAGAGTCAGACAGATGACCACAACAACCCTGTTCTCCTCTCACATGTGCCGTTCATGCAAGGCGGCCCAGGAATGTACAGGGAATGGAGGGTATTTTTGTCAAGACGAACAAGCAGCAGAGGATTTCAGAAAGAGAGACAAGGGTGAGACCAGAGATTAGAGAGAGACCAGAGAGACTAGAGAGAGCAGAGAGACTAGAGAGACCAGAGAGACTAGAGAGAGCAGAGAGACTAGAGAGACCAGAGAGACAAGGGTGAGACCAGTGATTAGAGAGAGACCAGAGAGACTTGAGAGACTAGAGAGACTAGAGAGAGCAGAAAGAGACCAGAGATTAGAGAGAGACCAGAGTGAGACCAGAGAGACTAGAGAGACTAGAAAGAGACCATAGAATGAGATTAAAGCAGGTTTGTGTGTCCATTACTCCTTGTTGTACCTGTTGTCTGTACTGCTCCTGCAGCGCCTCCTGCTGGGCCTCCTGGACTCTCCGGAACAGGGCCAGTTCGGTGGAGCTCACCAGGGAGTCTGCCCGGCGGAGGAAACCCGGCCTGGACCTCTGCGAGGGGAGGGGCTGCTGCGTCTGTGGGCCATCCGGGGCCTGTGGGGGCTGGGCGAAGGAGAACATCTCTATGGGGGGGTAGTCCCGGTACCGCGGGCTCACCAGCTCTTTGCCCAGAGTCTTGGCCGGCTGGTTCAGGTACTCCAGGGCCTTGGACGAGTGGTTGTAGTCCGGAGTGTTGGGGAAGGGCGGGGGCACGCGGCGGTCAATGGTCACCTGTCAATCACAATGAGTACAGTTTAGGGTTTAATCCCGAGACACGGGATTCCCGGGAAATCTGATCAAAACTCCCGGGAAATGTCATGACGGGAAACGGGAAATGAAATTTGAAAAAAAATCCAGTGCGCTCCTTTTATAAAGCACGTTTATTGTTGTTCAAAGTTCAAACATATTTCATTTACAATCAACATGTCTACAGCTGAAAGGATGGCTCATAAATTGTGTTTTTGAAACAAATATGGGTCTTAATCGCGCTGAACCACAGCTTGTAATGTCACCCAATGAGGCCAGCCTCAGGGTACGGGGCACATGTGAGCCCAGAATTTGGCTGCATCCAATTCTATCAGAAAGCTCCTTTCTTTTTTTCATCTGCTAAAGGCAGCAACAGGTTTGGCTAACATACAGATAACATATTTTAATATAATATAAAATGCATTTAGGATAATGTTTTGCTTCCAATGACGATATGAATGATAAGGAAGAGAGGTGAAGGGTAAGATGAACCTTTATTAGTCTCACAGTGGAGAGACTTCAGTGTCATCGCTGCACATTACAGCAGAGAGAGGAAATGAGAGCCCTCAGATCACACATCAAATAAGTAAGTAAGTAAGTAAAGTTTATTTGTATAGCGCCTTTCACAGACCAGGGTCACAAAGCGCTTCACACATAATACAAAATACACATACAAGTCAGATAAAACAAACACAGAAAACACAATTTACATTCACAGAGGCCTATGAACAATGGTGCGAGAACGCCTGTCCAAACAAATGTGTCTTTAGTTGGGACTTAAAATCATCAACAGTCTCTACGATACGCAGAGACTGAGGAAGCTCATTCCAAAGGCGAGGAGCAACTGCCTGGAAGGATCTGTCTCCTCTGGTTTTGAAACGAGTCCGGGGGACCATCAACAGGTTCTGAGTATAATAAGTCTTATTTAAGATAATAGACAATAAAATAAACTCTGGGCTATAATTGCACTTGGTACGGAAGTATTTACAGATGTCTATATTATACATTAGCAGCGGAGAATATGAGTATATGAATATGAGCAGAAGCAACATCAGAAATAATATCAACAGGTAAAGTGACTTGAATGGGAGAATGAAGGAGGTTTTAGAAATTGGATGCGCCCGAGAGCCGGCAGCAGCGAAACACAGGAGTTTATGGAGGAGGCACCCGTTTTGTTTTACTTTTTAAAACTCTTTGGACTTATTTCCAAATGGAGGATTACATATCTACGCTCAGACTATTATCTGGACTTAAACGGGTCTGAACTGAAGTGGTCTGTGCAGTTCATTAATAACTAAGGTAAGGCACTCGGAAATGTGCTTTTTACAAACGTTTGCGTTTTGTATGAGCAAACAATGCATGGAACTTATTCTGCTGTAGCCAAACTATGATATATATGTTCATCTGACAGGGCTGAAGTCAGTGCCTCCAAACCACACGTCACTGGTCGACAAGTGGATTACAGACATTTAGAATCTCATATTAGAGAAAGTCCTGAAGAAAGCCCATCAACAAAACGTCTGAAAACGCTAGGGCTACTTTAGAAAAGCTATGGCTAGTCGCTTGGTGAAGCACTAGCGGAGACAGCAGCTTTTGATGAACTATATATTTGAGTGATGTCATACATTACTTGGGCTAAAAACAACAGCTATTTCCCGGGATTTGACACATCTCATTTTCGGGAATAATACTAAACCCTAGTCCAGTTACAACAGCTCTGCTTCTGCCATGGACCAACAGGAAGGTCACTCACAGACACTGGATACATGTGTGTGTGTGTGTGTGTGTGTGTGTCTGACTGGGGGGTTGTGTGTCTAACCTGGGGGTTGTAGTTGTGGTCAAAGTGGTAGCTCTTGTGTGGTACCGCGGGCTTCTGTCCCGGGGGGTTGTGGTTCTGTGGGAACAGCAGCTCGTCGTCCAACATTGGGGCAGACTGAGAGCGGGACATACTGCCCTGCTCCAGAGCGGGCAGCTCGGGCCGGTCCAGACTGCTCTGCTGCTCGATGGAGGCGCTGTAGCTGTCCACGGGGATACTGCACACACCAGGCATCTTCATTCATGTATTTATTTATGTAGCACCTTTCACAGACTCACAAACAGATGTACAATAGTCACGGGCATCTGCCTCTCACTCCACACAGACTACAGGAGGCCAGTGCTATTGTACATGCATTTAGTGGTAGGGGAAACCGGAGCATCCGGAGGAAACCTACGCAGACACAGGTCCTGGAGGTGGAGTTGAACCCAGAACCCTCTCGCTGTGAAGCATAAGTGCTAACCACTGCACCACTGTGCGGCCACAGGTGTCACTATGACCAGAGTGACATCACTACGACCAGAGTGACATCACTACGACCAGAGTGACATCACTGCGACCAGAGTGACATCACTACGACCAGAATGACATCACTACGACCAGAATGACATCACTACGACCAGAATGACATCACTACGACCAGAGTGACATCACTACAACCAGAATGACATCACTACGACCAGAGTGACATCACTACGACCAGAGTGACCTCACTACGACCAACACAGACCACCCCCAAAGACCAACACAGACCCCCTGTAGCTCACCTGTAGACCTTGTAGGAGCCGATGTCGATCTCGTCGATGCTTTGGGACTTCTTGAACTTGGATCTGTTTTCTCGGATCATCGGCGACAGTCGCTCTGAGCTTTTACTCATCACCACGGTAACCTTGTTGCCTCCAGACACCGTGAGCTGGTCCTTCCTGGTCTGCTCATGCTGGTTATAGGACCAGCTGCCGGGAAGAGGTCCTGCACTGGGGTCCGAGCGCCTGGGGACCACACTGGGGTTAGAGTCTGAGTCCTACTGAGACCTGAGGACCTCACACTGGGGTTAGAGTCTGAGTCCTACTGAGACCTGAGGACCTCACACTGGGATTAGAGTCTGAGTCCTACTGAGACCTGAGGACCTCACACTGGGATTAGAGTCTGAGTCCTACTGAGACCAAGGACCTTACACTGGGGTTAGAGTCTGAGTCCTACTGAGACCTGAGGACCTCACACTGGGGTTAGAGTCTGAGTCCTACTGAGACCTGAGGACCTCACACTGGGGTTAGAGTCTGAGTCCTACTGAGACCTGAGGACCTCACACTGGGGTTAGAGTCTGAGTCCTACTGAGACCAAGGACCTCACACTGGGGTTAGAGTCTGAGTCCTACTGAGACCTGAGGACCTCACGTCGTGGGTCACATGACTCACCGTGGATCCTGGTCCTTGCGGCCCGGCTGAGGACTGGAACTTGGGGTGAGTTTTGAGGGGAATGCGGTGCGGTCTTCTAAAGGGCTGGGGGTCCTGGTCCAGTTCTGCCAGGGGTTCGGTCCTCCCTGGTTTGGGTCCTGGTCTGGGGGCCTCTGGTTGCTGTGGTAGGGCAGGGTCTGGGCGTCCAGCTCCAGGGGGACCCCCACGATGCGCTCCTGCCTCAGCAGAGGTCTGCGTCCGTGGGCAGACTGGCTCCGGGGTTTGGACCCCAGAGGGGGGTTGCCCTGACTGGAGGTCTCCAGAGCCGACTCTTCAGCGTCGAAGCCCGTGTTGTCGTAGTGAGGGGCCTCAGCCCAGTCAAAGGGCTCGCTCAGGGGCCTGCGGTCCCCGCGCTGCTGGAGGGTCCCAGAGGGGGGCGTCTCTCTCTGCGACAGCAGGGGCTTGGAGTCCATGGGTTTGGGGAAGGACTGCGTGATTCTGCAGCGAGAACAGTTCAATTAGAGCCGTGATAAAAAAACAGTAGTCGATCGTTTATTGCGGAGGTTACGTTCTAAAACTAAGCCACAACGAGAAAAACCCTCTCAGTAGCAGCTCTGCATCCGGGAAGTATTCACAGCACTTACATTTTTTCAAAAAATGTTATGTTACAGCCTTATTCCTCACAATTCTACACAAAACACCCAGCGTTCCTCTGTGGAGAGAGGGGAACCTTCCAGAAGGACAACCATCTCTAAAGCAATCCACAAATCAGGCCTGTTTGGTAGAGTGGCCAGACGGAATCAGCTCCTTGGTTTGGAGTTTGCCAAAAGGCACCTGAAAGACTCTCAGACCGTGGGTAAAACAATCTCTGGTCTGATGAGACAAAGATTGAACTCTTTGGCGTGAATGCCAGGCGTCATGTTTGTAGAAAACCAGGCACTGCTCATCACCGAGCCAATACCATCCCTACAGTGAAGCATGGTGGTGGTAGCATCATGCTGTGGGGATGTTTTTCAGCGGCAGGAATTGGGAGACTAGTCAATATAGAGGGAAAGAGGAATGCAGCAATTTACAGAGACATCCTGCTCCAGAGCTCCTGACCTCAGACTGGGGCGACGGTTCCTCTTTCAGCAGGACAACGACCCTAAGCACAGCCACGATAACAAAGAAGTGGCTTCAGGACAACTCTGTGAATGTCCTTGTGTGGCCCAGAGCCCAGACTTGAATCCAATTGAACATCATTGAGAGGTGCTGCAAAGAGGAATGGGCCAAAACTGCCCAAAGACAGGTGTGCCAAGCTTGTGGCATCATATTCAAAAAGACTTGAGGCTGTAATTGCTCCAAAGGTGCATCAACAAAGTGTTAAGCAAAGGCTGTGAATACTTATGTACATGTGCTTTATTAGTTTTTTTTATTTTTATAAATTTCCAAGAATCTCAAAAAGACGTTTTTCATGTTGACATTATGGGGTGTTGTGTGTAGAATTGTGAGGAAAAAAATGTATTGAATCAACTTTGGAATAAGGCTGTAACAAAACAAAACGTGGAAAAAGTGAAGCTCTGTAAATACTTTCCGGATGCACTTAAGTCTGAGAGTTTTAAAACCTGTGGTTTGAGCTGGTTCTAAAACTGAAAATAGTGAAATACAAACTGTTATTACAGAGGCAAGAAAGGGTTTTCCTACAAGTTCACACAGGGCATAAAACTAGGTCGCTCTACTCTACTCTACTCTACTCTACTCTACTCTACTCTACTCTACTCTACTCTACTCTACTCTACTCTACTCTACTCTACTCTACTCTACTCTACTCTACTCTACTCTACTCTACTCTACTCTACTCTACTCTTCTCTCAGAGATTCTCAGATACTATACCCGTAGAGTATGATGCAAACAGTTACTGCACTCAAGGAGTTTACTTTTCCATATTGTCAACAGGAGCCAGAGCGAGTTGGAGCCAAACGTCACCGTCGGCACTTCCCTATTGGGCTTCATTAGCATGTTAGCATTGAGCTAGCAGGCTAACATTGTTCATCTAAATACAGGCTATGGTTTCATGCAAACACACAGCTTTTTATGGAACCAGTTGGAAGTGTGTAAGTACCAACACGAGCGCTCACCTGTTTGTCCAATGCGGCTGCTGCGGCTGCTCCTTATTGGTCCAATGCTGCTGCTGCGGCTGCTCCTTATTGGTCCAATGCGGCTGCTGCGGCTGCTCCTTATTGGTCCAATGCGGCTGCTGCGGCTGCTCCTTATTGGTCCAATGCGGCTGCTGCGGCTGCTCCTTATTGGTCCAATGCGGCTGCTGCGGCTGCTCCTTATTGGTCCAATGCTGCTGCTGCGGCTGCTCCTTATTGGTCCAATGCGGCTGCTGCGGCTGCTCTTTATTGGTCCAATGCTGCTGCTGCGGCTGCTCCTTATTGGTCCAATGTGTCTGCTGTGGTTGTTCCTTGTTGCCCCAGTGCGTTGGCGGTGGCTGCTCTTTGGTGGGGGGCACCATGGTGGGCGGGTGCGGGTGCGGGTGCTGGTTGGAGGGGTTGGACGAACCGGAGGAACCCTGAGACGGAGAGTAGTCGGAGTAGGTGGCCGAGGAGCCGCTGTGGTTCAGACAGTGCATCTTGTCCACTTCCTCGTCTGTGGACTCTGCAGCAAAAGCACACGGCACGATCAGAGTCATATTTAAAGTCAGTTATTTTACATTTGCAGTAAAACCTCATTGGAAAAAATGTACAAGAAGTCCCCAGAGTGAACCAGACAAGTACATCAACAAAAGAAGCTCAAATGTACAGGGAACAAATGTCTGGTCTCCTTGGTCTCTCTCTAGTTTCTATCTAGACTCTTTCTGGTCTCTCGGGTATCTCTCTGGTCTCTCTCTGGTCTCTCTCTGGTCTCTCTATGGTCTCTCTCTGGTCTCTCTCTGGTCTCTCACTGGTCTTTCTCTGGTCTCTCTATGGTCTCTCTCTGGTCTCTCACTGGTCTTTCTCTGGTCTCTCTATGGTCTCTCTCTGGTCTCTCTCTGGTCTCTCTCTGGTCTCTCTCTGGTCTCTCTCTGGTCTCTCTATGGTCTCTCTATGGTCTCTCTCCGGTCTCTCTCTGGTCTCTCTCTGGTCTCTCTCTGGTCTTTCTCCGGTCTCTCTCTGGTCTCTCTCTGGTCTCTCACTGGTCTTTCTCTGGTCTCTCTATGGTCTCTCTCTGGTCTCTCTATGGTCTCTCTCCGGTCTCTCTCTGGTCTCTCTCTGGTCTCTCACTGGTCTTTCTCTGGTCTCTCTATGGTCTCTCTCTGGTCTCTCTCTGGTCTCTCTCTGGTCTCTCACTGGTCTCTCTCTGGTCTCTCTCTGGTCTCTCTCTGGTCTCTCTCTGGTCTCTCTCTTGTCTCCCTCTGGTCTCTCTCTGGTCTCTCTCTGGTGTCTCTTTGGTCTCTCTCTCTGGTCTCTCTCTGGTCTCTCCATGGTCTCTCTCTGGTCTCTCTGGTCTCTCTCTGGTCTCTCTCTGGTCTCTCTCTGGTCTCTCTCTGATCTCTCTCTGGTCTCCCTCTGGTCTCTCTCTGGTCTCTCTCTTGTCTCCCTCTGGTCTCTCTCTGGTCTCTCTCTGGTGTCTCTTTGGTCTCTCTCTCTGGTCTCTCTCTGGTCTCTCCATGGTCTCTCTCTGGTCTCTCTGGTCTCTCTCTGGTCTCTCTCTGGTCTCTCTCTGGTCTCTCTCTGGTCTCTCTCTGGTCCCCCTCTGGTCTCTCTCTGGTCTCTCTCTTGTCTCCCTCTGGTCTCTCTCTTGTCTCCCTCTGGTCTCTCTCTGGTCTCTCTCTGGTCTCTCTCTGGTCTCTCTCTGGTCTCTCTCTGGTCTCTCTCTGGTCTCTCTCTGGTCTCTCTCTGGTCTCTCTCTGGTCTGTCTCTGGTCTCTCTCTGGTCTCTCTCTGGTCTCTCACCTTTCTTGTCTTTCCCGAGCAGGACCACTTTAGGTTTGTACATGTTGGCGTCCACCAGAGTGGGTCTCATGTCTGAGATGCGGATGTCGTTCGGAGATCCACCCATCGAGTCCTGAGGCGAGTAATACACCTGCAACAACAGAGGACTATGAGAGACCAGAGAGAGACCAGAGAGAGACCGGAGAGAGACCAGAGAGAGACCAGAGAGAGACCGGAGAGAGACCAGAGAGAGACCAGAGAGAGGGACAAGAGAGAGACCAGCAAGAGACCAAAGAGAGACCAGAGAGAGACCAGAGAGAGAGACCAGAGAGAGACCAGAGAGAGAGACCATAGAGAGACCAGAGAGAGAGACAAGAGAGAGACAAGAGAGACCAGAGAGAGAGACCAGAGAGAGACCAGCAAGAGATCAGAGAGAGACCGGAGAGAGACCAGCAAGAGAGCGGAGAGAGACCAGCAAGAGACCAGAGAGAGACCAGACAGGGACCAGATAGCGACCAAAAGAAGACAAAGCTATTTATATGATGTGTATCAATATGCACACAGACAGAGACGTCGTCCCTTTAAATATTAATAAAGATAATGATACTTGAAGAAATGTGGGTCACAACAAAAAACGTTCAGTTCGTGAGATAACGATAACAGCAGCTAATAGTTTAGTAGCAAAACAGATGGAACCGAGGTCTAAGGGGCCTTAAAATCTTGAATCTCCGTTGTCCTAAGTCCAGAACACCAGTTGCGGTCTGTACCTCGGAGCTCTCGTGCTCCTCCTTGTCCTTCCTCTTGGGGATGTCGATGCCAGAGTTGTGCATTTGGCTCTGCTCCATGAGTTGGCTCTGAGAGAAATCCTGCATCTCTCGATCGGTGACCTGCAAAACAGACCAAAGGGTTACCTAAGACCATGTGAGGCCTACGTGTTACTGGTCTGAGAGGGTCTGTGAGAAGAGACTGACATGTCTCTCTACAACAACAGCGGTCTCTGGTTTATCGCTGGGGTTCAGTTTTAAAAGTAACCCGCAATAAGGTAAATCCCCTGGTCTCTCTCTGGTCTCTCTCTGGTCTCTCTCTGGTCTCTCTCTAGTCTCTCTCTGGTCTCTCTCTGGTCTCTCTCTGGTCTCTCTCTGGTCTCTCTCTGGTCTCTCTCTGATCTCTCTCTGGTCTCTCTCTGGTCTCTCTCTGGTCTCTCTCTGGTCTCTCTCTGGTCTCTCTCTGGTCTCTCTTTGGTCTCTCTCTGGTCTCTCTCTGGTCTCTCTCTGGTCTCTTTCTGGTCTCTCTCTGGTCTCTCTCTGGTCTCTCTTTGGTCTCTCTCTGGTCTCTCTCTGGTCTCTCTCTGGTCTCTCTCTGGTCTCTCTCTGGTCTCTCTCTAGTCTCTCTCTGGTCTCTCTCTGGTCTCTCTCTCTGGTCTCTCTCTGGTCTCTCTCTGGTCTCTCTCTGGTCTCTCTCTAGTCTCTCTCTGGTCTCTCTCTGGTCTCTCTCTGGTCTCTCTCTGGTCTCTCTCTGGTCTCTCTCTGGTCTCTCTCTGGTCTCTCTCTGGTCTCTCTCACCTCTTTGGGAGGCAGGGGCCAGGGCGGCTCATACTCCTGGCTTGAGTGCGTGAGCTCCATGGGACCGGAGGAGCCCATCTGGTGCGAGTGTAGCGCCCCCTGCTGTCCGTGGTGATGGTGCTGCAGCTGGTGCACGTGGCCTGCGTGCACGCTCTTACCCACAAGGCTTTGCACCGACTTCACCATGTTCTTCAGGTCCTCGGGGTATGGCGTGGGGTACCGCTTTAGGTTGATCTCCACCTGAGCACAGAGGACCCGCCACATGAGGCCCTGAAAGCTGAGGGACCTAACATTAAAGATGGGGATGCAGCATTAAAGCTGGGATCGTAACTTTAAAGTCTTGGGTCCGAAACCTCAGTCCTGGATCTACAGCCTAAGTCCTGGGTCTACAGCCTCAGTCCTGGATCTACAGCCTGAGTCCTTGGTCTACAGCCTCAGTCCTGAGTCTACAGCCTCAGTCCTGGATATACAGCCTCAGTACTGGGTCTACAGCCTCAGTCCTGGGTCTACAGCCTCAGTCCTGGATATACAGCCTCAGTACTGGGTCTACAGCCTCAGTCCTGGGTCTACAGCCTCAGTCCTGGGTCTACAGCCTCAGTCCTGGATATACAGCCTCAGTACTGGGTCTACAGCCTCAGTCCTGGGTCTACAGCCTCAGTCCTGGGTCTACAGCCTCAGTCCTGGGTCTACAGCCTCAGTCCTGGGTCTACAGCCTCAGTCCTGGGTCTACAGACCTAGTCCTCTCTCAGAGACTCAGATGTATAAATCTGACCTTGACCTTCCCAGTGTTGTCCTCGTCGTCTTTCTTGTCCTCAAAGTCGAAGGCCACAGTCATCCTCTGCTGCCGCTGCTCCTCCCAGAGCGTGGGGTTAAAGCTGTCACTGTCCGACTGGTAATCTGCAAACACAAGAGAGATGAGACCAGAGAGAGACCAGAGAGAGACCAGAGAGAAACCAGAGAGACCAGAGAGAGACCAGAGAGAGACCAGAGAGAGAGACCAGAGAGAGACCAGAGAGAGACCAGAGAGAAACCAGAGAGACCAGAGAGAGACCAGAGAGAGACCAGAGAGAGAGACCAGAGAGAGACCAGAGAGAGACCAGAGAGAGAGACCAGAGAGAGACCAGAGAGAGACCAGAGAGAGAGACCAGAGAGAGACCAAAGAGAGACCAAAGAGAGACCAAAGAGAGACCAAAGAGAGACCAAAGAGAGACCAAAGAGAGACCAAAGAGAGACCAAAGAGAGACCAGAGAGAGACCAGAGAGAGACCAGAGAGCGACCAGAGAGAGAGACCAGACAAATCAGAGATATTTGTTACATTGTCCTGTTTTTCTTAGCAAAGACCTGGAATAATTTCAGTCATTTGCAATTCACAAAAACATCTTTTTTGTCTTCATTTTGCCTCCAGGTTCTCTGTGGTTCTGGTGTTACCTTCGTCGTGCCGCGGCTGCTGAGGGAACATGTAGTTGGTGAGGACTTTCTGTTTGGTCTCTGGATGCGCCTCAGTCTGCAGCGGGATCAGGGCCTTGGACTGAGACACACAACAAAAACAGTAAAAATACACAAACATGAGTGTGTTTAAAATGTGTGTATCATAGGATTGTACCTGATTGTCAGAGAGCCACAGAGCAGCGAGGTCTTTGAGCTTCGTGAACGTGAACGGCAGATTCTTCAACCTGAAACAGTGGAACATTCTGACTTTTCCCAAAACTTCATACGGAGAGAAACCAGAGAGAAACCAGAGAGAGACCAGAGAGACCAGAGAGAAACCAGAGAGAGACCAGAGAGACCAGAGAGAGACCAGAGAGAGACCAGAGAGAGACCAGAGAGAGACAAGAGAGAGAGCAGAGAGAGATCAGAGAGAGACCAGAGAGAGACCAGAGAGAGACCAGAAAGAGACCTGAGAAAGACCAGAGAGAGACCAGAGAGAGACCAGAGAAAGACCAGAGAGAGACCAGAGAGAGACCAGAGAGAGACCAGAGAGAGACAAGAGAGAGACCAGAGAGAGACAAGAGAGAGAGCAGAGAGAGATCAGAGAGAGACCAGAGAGAGACCAGAGAGAGACCAGAAAGAGACCTGAGAAAGACCAGAGAGAGACCAGAGAAGGGCCAGAGAGAGACCAGAGAGAGACCAGAGAAAGAACAGAGAGAGACCAGAGAGAGACCTGAGAGAGACCAGAGAGAGACCAGAGAGAGACCAGAGAGAGACCAGAGAAAGACCAGAGAGACCAGAGAGAGACCCGAGAGACCAGAGAGAGACCAGAGTGAGACCTGAGAAAGACCAGAGAGACCAGAGAGAGACCAGAGTGAGACCTGAGAAAGACCAGAGAGACCAGAGAGAGACCGAAGTGAGACCTGAGAAAGACCAGAGAGAGACCAGAGTGAGACCTGAGAAAGACCAGAGAGACCAGAGAAAGACCAGAGAGACCAGAGAGAGACCAGAGACCAGACTTTTCTTTCTGAAAAACTAGAGAAAGCAGCAAACTTCTTTTGATCCAAAAAAATAGATTTTATTACTACAGTTGTGGTGTGAAAGTCAGATACCCGAGCTTTAATCTCAGAGCTCTACAACACAGTCCTCTGCTGTCCCTCACACTCTACACTCTTACATCACTGCCCCCCGTTACACTCCCCTTGCCACTTTTTGGCCGCTGCCGTCGTTTCCACGGTAACGGAGTCTACGTGGTGTCCATAGTAACCGCGTGCTCCCATGGCAACAGTCTCCATCTGCTCTCGGTGACTTGGCGCCCGAAGCCCATTGACAAAAGCAGGAGCGGAGTGAGTCACTGTAGTAAGCTGCTCTACGGCGCCCCCCGCGGGTCAGGCTTCTACACCGACAACACGGCCTTCGCCAACGAAAGTAGTAAAAGTCTAGGGACTAGAATTAAAATGAACAAGAGAAAGGCCAGAGAGAGACCAGAGAGAGACCAGAGAGAGACCAGAGAGAGACCGGGGAGAGACCGGGGAGAGACCAGAGAGAGACCAGAGAGAGACCAGAGAGAGACCAGAAAGAGACCAGGGAGAGACCAGAGGGAGACCAGAGAGAGACCAGAGAGAGACCGGGGAGAGACCAGAGAGAGACCAGAGAGAGACCAGAGAGAGACCAGGGAGAGACCAGAGAGAGACCAGAGAGAGACCAGAGAGAGACCAAAGAGAGAGACTGAAGCAGACCAGAGGGAGACCAGAGAGAGACCGGGGAGAGACCAGAGAGAGACCAGGGAGAGACCAGAGAGAGACCAGAGAGAGACCAGAGAGACCAGAGAGAGACCAGAGAGAGACCAGAGAGAGATCAGAGAGAGACCGGGGAGAGACCAGAGAGAGACCAGGGAGAGACCAGAGAGAGACCAGAGAGAGACCAGAGAGAGACCAGAGAGAGACCAGAGAGACCAGAGAGAGACCAGAGAGAGACCAGAGAGAGATCAGAGAGAGACCGGGGAGCGACCAGAGAGAGACCAGAGAGAGACCAGAGAGAGACCAGAGAGATTACAGAGAGAGACCAGAGAGAAATGAGTGACAGACCAAAGAGATAGAGAACAAAGATAGATGAGAGATCTACAGCCTCGGTCCTGGGTCTACAGCCTCAGTCTTGGGTCTACAGCCTCAGTCCTGGGTCTACAGCCTCAGTCCTGCGTCTACAGCCTCAGTCTTGGGTCTACAGCCTCAGTCCTGGGTCTACAGCCTCAGTCTTGGGTCTACAGCCTCAGTCCTGGGTCTACAGCCTCAGTCCTGGGTCTACAGCCTCAGTCCTGGATCTACAGCCTCAGTCCTGCGTCTACAGCCTCGGTCTCTACTGCACCTGTTGTCGCTGAGGTTGAGCACTCTGAGTTTGGTCATCTGTCCGATCTCGTCCGGGAGAAACTCCAGTTTGTTGGATCTCAAAGACATCACCGTCACGTTCCGACAGTTTCCGATCTAAAACGCACAAACACACACTTTTCACGCCAAGTCCCACAGTTCATATAAAGTTTATTATTCGTGGGGAGGACTTCTTTACACTTACCTCTCGCGGAAGCTCCGAGAGGAAGTTCTCGTCGGCAGCGAAGGTGCGCAGACTGTGCAGGTATCCGACCGTGGGCGGGAGAGACTCCAGTTCATTACAACTACAGTCCAGCTCCTCCAAGAGAGAGAGACTGAAGCAGAGACGAGAGAAACCATCAGGATGAAGACCAGTGTGCAGTCCAGCTCTGAGGCAGACCAGAGAGAGGCCAGAGAGAGACCAGAGAGAGACCAGAGAGAGACCGGGGAGAGACCGGGGAGAGACCGGGGAGAGACCAGAGAGAGACCAGAGAGAGACCAGACAGAGACCAGACAGAGGCCAGAGAGAGACCAGGGAGAGACCAGATAGAGACCGGGGAGAGACCAGAGAGAGACCAGAGAGAGACCAGAGAGAGACCAGAGAGAGACCAGAGAGAGACCAGAGAGAGACCAGAGAGAGACCAGAGAGAGACCAGAGAGAGACCAGAGAGAGACCAGAGAGAGACCAGAGAGAGACCAGGGAGAGACCAGAGAGAGACCAGAGAGAGACCAGAGAGAGACCAGAGAGAGACCAGAGAGAGACCAGAGAGAGACCAGAGAGAGACCAGAGAGAGACCAGAGAGAGACCAGAGAGAGACTGACGCAGAGACGGAGTGAACACGAGGATACAGTGGTCCCTCGCTGTAATGCGGTTCACTGTTTCATGGATCTCGAGCTTCTGCTCGTGTCAGTTCTATTCCATTTGTTTTGGTACAATCCTAAATCACAAAAGCAGTCGTCTCAACTAAGTTGTTGATTCGCCAACAACAGTTCAGAGAATCAAACCGTTCGAACACAGGGAATGTGAACACATAGGAGCCATTGGTCACAGGGAGTGGGACGACCACTGAAACTCCCGGAGCAGTCAATTTGACTGCTTTTAGTTTTGGAAGTTATTACTGAGATTCTTAGTCTTCATAACGTGACGTGACTTTATCTGTTTCTTCATGTGCTTTATTTCTATATTGTGTTTATTAAATGAGAGTTCTGCCTTTAACTCCCAGAGAAAAGGCAGTACTAGTTACCATAGCAACACTGTTTACTGTCCGCAGTTAGCATTTAGCTAGCATTTTAATACAGGTAATAATGATCAGCCCTAGCACTAATTCAAAAGTGAAAACTACTTTTAATAAATCTGGTGGAAAAACTAAAATAGTTTAGGAGAAAATCTCAAAATTGGTTTGAATCATTGAGCTAGCTGCTAGCGGGTTAGCGGGTTAGCGGGTTAGCATTGACCATCTGCTCACAGTCAATGTTAGCTTTGTCCATCTGTGTACAGTGTATGCTTTGATATCTCATAATGTGCGGTGAGGGTTTTTTTGCGGATTAATATTCCAACGTAACCCCCGCGATAAACCAGGGACCACTGTATGGACGAAACCGCAGCGAGACCTTAACCACGAGACCTTAACCACGAGACCTTAACCACGAGACCTTAACCACGAAAGCACAGTCTGTGGAACGGGATGTGCTCTGACCTCACGTTACACAGAAAGTGAAAGTACAGAAAAAAAACTGGTGTCCACTGTTTTTGGTTGTTTTTGGCTCTTAAGATTTGGGACCTCCCACTGAAAGACCTGGGAGCGGATCTTTAAAAAGCCTCTTCAATATTTTATTGATATTTATTGATCAGAAAACAGCAAACACCAGAACGACAACAGTTCATCCATCGTCCTGAAGCCGCTGGAGAAAAACCATATTTACACCCAGAGCTCTGCGACAGCACCATGTGGGGGAGAGGGGGAGAGGGGAGGGGAGAGGGGGAGAGGGGAGGGAGAGGAGGAGGGGGGAGAGGAGGAGAGGAAGAGGAGGAGAGGGGAGAGGGGGAGAAGGAGAGGCGGAGAGGGGGAGAGGGGAGGGAGAGGAGGAGGGGGGAGAGGAGGAGAGGAAGAGGAGGAGAGGGGAGAGGGGGAGAAGGAGAGGCGGAGAGAGGGGGAGAGGGGAGGGAGAGGGAAGGGAGAGGGAGAGAGGAGGAGGAGGAGAGGAGGAGGAGGAGAGGAGGAGGAGGAGAGGAGGAGAGGGGAGAGAGGGGGAGAGGGGGAGAGGAGGAGAGTGGAGAGGAGGAGAGTGGAGAGGGGGAGAGTGGAGAGGGGGAGAGTGGAGAGGGGGAGAGGAGGAGAGGGGGAGAGGAGGAGAGTGGAGATGGGGAGAGGAGGAGAGGAGGAGAATGGAGAGGTGGAGAGGGGGAGAGGGGGAGAGGAGGAGAGTGGAGAGGGGGAGAGTGGAGAGGGGGAGAGGAGGAGAGGGGGAGAGGAGGAGAGTGGAGATGGGGAGAGGAGGAGAGGAGGAGAATGGAGAGGGGGAGAGGGGGAGAGGGGAGAGTGGAGAGAGGGGGAGAGGGGGAGAGGAGGAGAGGAGGAGAGTGGAGAGGGGGAGAGGTGGAGAGGGGAGAGGAGGAGAGGGGGAGAGGAGGAGAGTGGAGATGGGGAGAGGAGGAGAGGAGGAGAATGGAGAGGGGGAGAGGAGGAGAGGGGGAGAGGAGGAGAGTGGAGATGGGGAGAGGAGGAGAGGAGGAGAATGGAGAGGGGGAGAGGGGGAGAGGGGGAGAGGAGGAGAGTGGAGAGGAGGAGGAGGAGAGGAGGAGAGGGGAGAGAGGGGGAGAGGGGGAGAGGAGGAGAGTGGAGAGGAGGAGGAGGAGAGGGAGGAGAGGGGAGAGAGGGGGAGAGGGGGAGAGGAGGAGAGGAGGAGAATGGAGAGGGGGAGAGGGGGGAGAGGAGGAGGAGGAGAGGAGGAGGAGGAGAGGAGGAGAGGGGAGAGAGGGGGAGAGGGGGGAGAGGAGGAGAGGAGGAGAGGAGGAGGAGGAGAGGAGGAGAGGGGAGAGAGGGGGAGAGGGGGAGAGGAGGAGAGTGGAGAGGAGGAGGAGGAGAGAGGAGGAGGGGGAGAGAGGGGGAGAGGGGGAGAGGAGGAGAGGAGGAGAATGGAGAGGGGGAGAGGGGGAGAGGAGGAGGAGGAGAGGAGGAGGAGGAGAGGAGGAGAGGGGAGAGAGGGGGAGAGGGGGAGAGGAGGAGAGGAGGAGAGTGGAGAGGGGGAGAGGAGGAGAGGGGGAGAGGAGGAGAGTGGAGATGGGGAGAGGGGGAGAGGGCGGGATCTGTAGGAGTGGTCTGACGGAGTGTGACATCACCATAGAGTTAGCCTTAAAGAAGCCCATTTGAACATGAGCTGGAGCCAATTTCTGTATACAGGCATTTCATCCAGGGCGTTAGCTTTGTGCTGTAACTGGGACAGATATGTTGCTAAGACGGTTGCTAAGACGGTTGCTAAGACGGTTGCTAAGGTTTCCCCCCTCAAATCAAGGCATCTGAAAGGTCTGTCTGTCTATTATCTATTTCTATCTCTCTGTCGCTGTTGTTCTCTCACTCTGTCTCTCTCTCGGTCTCTCTCTGTCTCTCCCCCTCTCTCTCTCTGTCTTGCTCTTTCTCTCTCTGTCTGTCTCTCTATCTCCCTCTATCCTTCTCTCTCTCTCTCTGTCTCTCTCTCTCCCTCTCTCCTTCTCTCTCGCTCTCTCCTTCTCTCTCTCTCTCCTTCTCTCCCTCTCTCTCTCTCTCTCTCCCTCTCTCCTTCTCTCCCTCTCTCTCTCTCTCTCTCTCTCCTTCTCTCTCTCTCTCTCTCTCTCTCTCTCTCTCCCTCTCTCCTTCTCTCCCTCTCTCTCTCTCTCTCTCTCCCTCTCTCCTTCTCTCTCTCTCTCTCTCTCTCTCTCCCTCTCTCCTTCTCTCCCTCTCTCTCTCTCTCTCTCTCCTTCTCTCTCTCCGTCTCGTGCTTCGCTCTCAGGATGTAAACCCGGATCGTCTACATTCTGTTATGTCACAGTGAACATTGCACTTGTCTGCTGATACTGCTGCCATCTGGGGACCATCTGGACAGCATTTGTCCTTCTGAAGCCACACACACACACACACACACACACAGTACACACACACACAGTACACACACACAGTACACACACACACACACACACACACACACACGCACACTTGTCTGTACACTGTACATACAGTGGGGCATAAAAGTATTTAATTGGCCACTAATTGTGACTAATCATCGTCAGATTTTTTAAATGTTAAAATAACATTTCAGTATTTAGTCAATAGAAAAGTCATCTCAATACTTTGTTAGCTTTTGTTGGCTTTAGCTCAGGTCCTATATTTGTCTAAAGTCCTGACACTGTTGCTGGTATTTTGGCCCATTCCTCATCTCAGGTTTCTTCTTGTGCAGTGATGTTTAGGGCAACAGCGACTCTTAACTCCCACCAAAACCTACAATTTTTTTTCTACATGGCCCATTAATCCTGTCCTCTACAAGGATCAATAGTCCTGGTGCCATTGTAGAAAAACCGCCCCAAAGAACGATGCTTCCACCCCCATGTTTCACAGTCGGTGGAGATCTGTCTTTGTCGAGGCCTGGGAGACTGGCCTAGGATTAGAGGAAACCAAAATTAACTATTACTATCTATATCTCTCAATGTATCTCTCCCTCTTCCTCTCTCTATCTCTCTTCCAATGTCTCTGTCTACCTCTCTTTTTCTTTCTCCCTCTCTCTCAATCCCTCTCTGAAGGCTGAAACACAGGAAAAGAAACACAGGAAAATAAATGAAACACAGGAAAAGAAATGTGTCTCTCTCTGGTCTCATCCTGGTCTCATCCTGGTCTCATCCTGGTCTATTTCTGATCTCTGTGGTCCTTCTCCGGTCTCTCTCTGATTTCTGGTGAAACCCCAGGGGAAGACAGGAGAGGTTTCTCTGGGTTCAGGCGAGAGACTCTACAATCTTATCTAAGAACTTATCAGACTAACGCCCGGGAAACTTCAAGGACTTCCATTCGAAACTTTTCAAAGCTTTTTACAAGAGTTTAGAGTTTAGATGACTTTGTGGTCTCGTTCTGGTCCTTGAAGTGACCGCGGGAGGCTTCCGGAGGCTTCTACAGTTACTCACCCGAGCTTGGGTTTTGGGCTAACGCCGCGGCAGCAGACACAACAAGAGACCACAACTCAGTCTGGCGCCAACATGTGGACAAATGTGGTACTGCGGGTCGTGCAGAGACTCACCTCCCGATGGAGTTTGGCAGTGACGTGAGCTGGTTATCGTCCACCTTCAGCGTGGTCAGCTTCTTCAACATCCCTGGAACCGAGAGGACACAGCTGCTACGACAAACCAGGGACAAGACTCTGCAAAACGAGCCGTGGAGCTGGGTTTGGGTGAGTGAAGCTACAGTATAAACGCTAGAGTTTTGGCTGTTGCTCGAGTTTCTCTCATCTCTCTGATCTATCTCTCAAGTCTCTTTCTGGTTTTTCTTTCTCTGGTCTCTTTCTGGTCTCTCTCTGGTCTCTCTCTGGTCTCTCTCTGGTCTCTCTCTGGTCTCTTTCTGGTCTCTCTCTGGTCTCTCTCTGGTCTTTCTCTGGTCTCTTTCTGGTCTTGTCTCTGGTTACATTTACAAGACTCTTTCTGTCGGAAAAAACTACATACTTATTATTATTTATTCGGTGAAAGTTACATACCCCAGCTTTAAGTGCCTCGTACCTGTAGTCTGTGGCCTCGTACCTATGGTCTGTGGCCTCGTACCTATGGTCTGTGGCCTCGTACCTATGGTCTGTGGCCTCGTACCTATGGTCTCTGGCCTCGTACCTATAATAATAATAATAATAATACATCAGTTTTATATAGCGCTTTTCAAGGACTCAAAGACGCTTCACAAGTTCATGACACAAACACACACGTTTAGACAGACACACAAACTAAAAATCTAAGAGTGAGGAAGAAGGGTAGTTTAAACTAAGAGTCAAATGCTCGGAGGAAAAGGTGAGTTTTGAGCTGTTTTTTGAAGGAGTTTAGAGAGTCCGAGTTTCTGAGATGGAGGGGGAGGGAGTTCCAGAGAGTGGGAGCAGAGATGGCGAAAGCTCGGTCCCCCAAGGTTCGGTGCTTAGATTTGACAGTGGGAGTGAGGAGATGTGAGTCTGCAGATCGGAGTCGGCGGGAGGGACTGTAGGGCTGTAGAAGTTCAGTGAGGTAAGGAGGAGCGAGGTTATGGAGGGCTTTGTAGGTGATGAGGAGGATTTTGAAATGGATGCGCTGTTTAACAGGGAGCCAGTGGAGTTTTTGAAGGACAGGGGTGATGTGCTCTCTGGAGCGGGTCTGAGTGAGGAGGCGGGCGGCGGAGTTTTGGACATATTGTAGTTTTTGGAGATCAGATGAAGGAAGGCCATATAAGAGACTGTTGCAGAAATCGAGTCTGGAGGATATGAATGCATGGATCAGGGTTTCAGCAGCGGTGGAGGAAAGATATGGGCGAAGACGGGCAATGTTTTTAAGATGAAAGAAGGCAGTTTTGGTGATGTTGCGGATGTGGGGCTTGAAGGAAAGGGTGGGATCAAGGATGATTCCGAGGTTTCTGATCTGAGCAGAGGGTGAGATGGTGTGGCTGTCGATGGAGAGTGTGAAATGCTGGGTATTGGAAAGGAGGGACTTGGGGCCGATAATAATAATTTCTGATTTTTTGCAGTTGAGTTGGAGGAAATTGGTGGACATCCAGGATTTTATTGCGGATATGCAATTTGTGATGGAGGAGATGGTAGCAGGGGTTATGGATTTGGCTGAGAGGTAAAGTTGAGTGTCGTCTGCATAGCTGTGGAAATTGAAACCGTGCTGGTGGATGATGTGGCCAAGGGGGAGCATGTAAAGAATGAAAAGGAGGGGACCAAGCACCGAGCCTTGAGGTACTCCGTGGGTGACCGGGATGCAGCGGGATGAGCAGTTGTTGATGGCGATGTAGTGAGATCTGTTGGAGAGGTAGGATGAGAACCAGGAGAGTGCAGAGCCGGTAATGCCAGTGGTGAACTGGAGACGGTGGAGGAGGATGGAGTGGTCAATAGTGTCGAAGGCGGCGGAGAGGTCAAGGAGTAGCAGGATGGAGAGGGAGCCAGAATCTGAGGTGAGGAGGAGGTCGTTGATGACTTTGAGCAGTGCTGTTTCAGTGCTGTGTTGGGAACGGAAACCGGATTGAAATTTGTCAAAGAGGGAGTTGGAGTTGAGATGGTTGTTGAGTTGAGCAGCGACAGATCGTTCGAGGATTTTAGACAGAAAGGGAAGGTTGGAGATGGGGCGAAAGTTGTTGGAGTCGTCAGGATCCAGGTTTGGTTTTTTGAGGATGGGTGTGATGGTTGCCATCTTGAAGGCGGGGGGCACGGTACCAGAGGTGAGAGGAGTTGATTATTTCTAAAATGAGGGGGCTGAGAGACGGGAGGCATGATTTGACGAAAGACGAAGGGATGGGGTCCAGGGGGCAAGTGGAGAATTTAATATTTGTAAATAACTTTTGGAGATCTGCTTCTGAGATAGGTGAGAGGTGGGAGAGGGGGCTTACAGTTCGGGGAGAGGGGTCAGGTATGACAGGAGCGGGGGTTTTGGTGAGCTGCTGGTGGATGTTGTCGATTTTGGATTTGAAAAAAGTAAGAAAGATGTTGCATTTTTCCGTGGTAAATGATTGAGTTATATTGTCCGGTGGTTTAAGAAGTTTGTTGACTGTGGAAAACAGGGTGCGGGGATTGGAGGAGCCAGAGGTGATCATTTCAGTATAGAAAGCAGTGCGGGTTGTGGAAAGAGCAGATCTGTAGAGGAGAGTGTGGTCATTGAGGGCTTGGAGATGAACAGTGAGGCCGGTTTTATTGTGAAGGCGTTCAAGTTGACGGCGTTGTTTTTTGAGGTTGCGTAGCTCTGTGGTGTACCATGGTGCAGAACGGGTGAAAGTGACAGATGCGGTTTTGATAGGTACAAGGGTGTCTAAGCAGGAGGAGAGTGTGCTGTTGTAGTAAGATACCAGGTCAGGAGTGTTTGCGGGAGAGGTGAACTCTGATGTTGATAGGGTTTGGGATAAGTGGGTTGAGAGAGTGGTGGAACAGAGGGAATTTAGGTTGCGGAAAGAGAGAGTGCAGGTTTGCTTGATGTGGGGGTTAGGGATGTTGATGTGAAATGATAAGGCCAGGTGGTCTGATATTGCAAGGTCTGTATGAGAGAGTGAGTCAATGTGTAGGCCAGTGGAGCAGATCAGGTCCAAAATATGGCCACGGGAGTGGGTGGGAAAGTCGACGTGCTGTGTGAAGTTAAAATTTTGCAAGATGTCCAGGAAGTCAGTGGAAACTGTGTTGTGTGCAGAGTCAATGTGTATGTTGAAGTCCCCGAGAAGTAAAATGGAAGATGAGACCGTACAAAGATGTGTAATGAATTCCGATAGTTCTGAAAGAAAGGATGGATTTGGTTTGGGAGGGCGGTAAATTATTGAAATAACCAGAGGGAGGGGCCAAGGAGTTTGAATGAGAGAATGGGTGGAATGGGGAGGGGCTTGAGTTTGAGGGATTGCCGATGGATTGCGGCAATACCCCCTCCGCGGCCACTAGTGCGTGGTTGGTCAATGTATGAAAAACCCTGTGGAGTGGCTTGGTTGAGTGAGAAATAGTCCAGGGGTTTTTGCCATGTTTCAGTGATGCAGAGTAAGTCCAGTTGTGTGTCCGTGATGAATTCATTTAGTATGTGGCTTTTGTTGTTTAAGGATCTTGAGTTGAGGAGCAAGAGTTTGAGAGGCTTTTGTTGTGAAAGAGTCAGGGGGGAAGTGGAAATGGGCCGTAGGTTATGTATGTTAACTTGACGTGCGTTCTGATGACGCGCAGAGCTGAAAGCGGAAGCGGAGTGGATGACGGATCGTATTGTTGAGATGTTATTTTCACATGTGGAGTTGTAGATGAACTTTCGTCGTGAGCCCCGATGTATGTAGCGGGGTCGGCGTAGAAGACCGGCATGTTTGATGCTCGCAGCGATGTCAGAGGGAGGCGGCAAGCAGTGGGTTAGCCGGTGGAGCTGGAAGGAGGAGTAGCGGAGAGCCATGGTGGAGCAGGTGATGGGCAGCAGGTGAGCGAGGATGATAGCAGGGAAGATGGTGAGTAGATGGACCAGACACTGCATACCTTGAAGGCGCGTGAGCGTGGCTTACACTGGGTAAAGTTAGCTTCGCTTCGCTGCCAGGTAGCGCGGGTTTGTGTAGGCCCAGACCACCGTGCAGCTCAGCTGTAACTTCCAGAAGTAGGCAGACCGGTTTGGAAAAGGTCGGATCTCACTTTGGATTGAGAAAAAAATGGCAGTGTGTCCAGGTGCAGGCAGTAAAAGTTCCAAAGAAGCTGTAGAATTGAAGATCTGGAAAGAGCAAAGCATTGGAAGCGGCCCAAGATACAGCGGCAGCCAAAACGCGGCAGCCAAAACGCGCCAGCGTCCTCGTACCTATGGTCTGTGGCCTCGTACCTATGGTCTCTGGCCTCGTACCTATGGTCTCTGGCCTCGTACCTATGGTCTCTGGCCTCGTACCTATGGTCTGTGGCCTCGTACCTATGGTCTGTGGCCTCGTACCTATGGTCTGAGGCCTCGTACCTATGGTCTGTGGCCTCGTACCTATGGTCTCTGGCCTCGTACCTATGGTCTCTGGCCTCGTACCTATGGTCTCTGGCCTCGTACCTATGGTCTGTGGCCTCGTACCTATGGTCTGTGGCCTCGTACCTATGGTCTGAGGCCTCGTACCTATGGTCTGAGGCCTCGTACCTATGGTCTGAGGCCTCGTACCTATGGTCTGAGGCCTCGTACCTATGGTCTGTGGCCTCGTACCTATGGTCTGTGGCCTCGTACCTATGGTCTGAGGCCTCGTACCTATGGTCTGTGGCCTCGTACCTATGGTCTGTGGCCTCGTACCTATGGTCTGAGGCCTCGTACCTATGGTCTGTGGCCTCGTACCTATGGTCTCTGGCCTCGTACCTATGGTCTGTGGCCTCGTACCTATGGTCTCTGGCCTCGTACCTATGGTCTCTGGCCTCGTACCTATGGTCTCTGGCCTCGTACCTATGGTCTGTGGCCTCGTACCTATGGTCTGTGGCCTCGTACCTATGGTCTGAGGCCTCGTACCTATGGTCTGAGGCCTCGTACCTATGGTCTGAGGCCTCGTACCTATGGTCTGAGGCCTCGTACCTATGGTCTGAGGCCTCGTACCTATGGTCTGAGGCCTCGTACCTATGGTCTGTGGCCTCGTACCTATGGTCTGTGGCCTCGTACCTATGGTCTGAGGCCTCGTACCTATGGTCTGAGGCCTCGTACCTATGGTCTGTGGCCTCGTACCTATGGTCTGTGGCCTCGTACCTATGGTCTGTGGCCTCGTACCTATGGTCTGAGGCCTCGTACCTATGGTCTGTGGCCTCGTACCTATGGTCTGTGGCCTCGTACCTATGGTCTGAGGCCTCGTACCTATGGTCTGAGGCCTCGTACCTATGGTCTGTGGCCTCGTACCTATGGTCTGTGGCCTCGTACCTATGGTCTCTGGCCTCGTACCTATGGTCTCTGGCCTCGTACCTATGGTCTGTGGCCTCGTACCTATGGTCTGAGGCCTCGTACCTATGGTCTGAGGCCTCGTACCTATGGTCTCTGGCCTCGTACCTATGGTCTGAGGCCTCGTACCTATGGTCTCTGGCAGCTGCTGGAGCATGTTGGACGACAGCAGCAGATCTTCCAAAGCTTCGCAGCCGGAAACATCTGAATCTAACGCCTCGATACGATTCTTCGCCAAATCCATGTATCTCAACTGCCTCAACTTCCCCACGGACTGTGGAGAGAGGGGGACATGGGTGAGAGGGGGAGGAGGGAGAGGGGGAGGGGGAGAGAGAGGGAGAGGAGGGAGAGGAGGGAGAGGGGGGGAGGGGTGAAAGAGAGGGAGAGGGGGGTGAGGGGGTGAGAGAGGGGGAGAGAGAAGGGAGAGGAGGGAGAGGGGGGGAGGGAGGAGAGAGAGGGAGAGGGGGGTGAGGGGGTGAGAGAGGGGGAGAGAGAAGGGAGAGGGGGTAGAGGGGTGTGAGGGGGAGAGGGGGGAGAGGAGGAAGAGGGGTGACGGGGAGAGAGTTGTGCAAGGGGGTGAGAGAGGGGTGAGAGGGGGAGAGAGGAGGGAGAAGGGGGAGAGGGAGAGAGGAGGGTGAGGGGGGAGAGAGGGGGATGAAAGGGGGGGAGAGGAGTGAGCGAGAGGAAGTGAGAGGGGAAGAGAGGATGAGAGAAGAGGGAGGAGGTAAGAGGAGGAGAGAGAAGATGAGGGGAGGAGAGAGGAGGTGAGAGTGGGAGAGAGGAGGAGGAAAAGATAGATAGAGAATGGAGGAGAAAGAGGAGGAGAGAGGGAGCTACCCCTGGGATGTTCTGCAGAGAGTTGTTGTCCATCCACAGCTCCTTCAGGTTGTGCATCTGCTCCAACACTTCAGGCTGAAACACAGGAAAAGAAATGTGTCTCTCTCTGGTCTCATCCTGGTCTCATCCTGGTCTCATCCTGGTCTATTTCTGATCTCTGTGGTCCTTCTCTGGTCTCTCTCTGATTTCTGGTCTCTCTCTTGTCTCTCGTGTCTCTCTGGTCTCTGGTCTATCTCTGGTCTCTCTCTGGTCTCTCTCTGGTCTCTGGTGTCTCTCTGGTCTCTGTTGTCTCTCTGGTCTCTCTCTGGTCTCTCTCTGGTCGCTCTCTTGTCTCTGGTCTCTCTCTCTGGTCTCTCTCTGGTCTCTCTCTCTGGTCTCTCTCTGGTCTGTCTCTGGTCTCTCTCTGGTCTCTCTCTAGTCTCTGGTGTCTCTCTGGTCTGTCTCTGGTTTCTCTCTGGTCGCTCTCTTGTCTCTGGTCTCTCTCTGGTCTCTGTCGTCTCTCTGGTCTCTCTCTGGTCGCTCTCTTGTCTCTGGTCTCTCTCTGGTCTCTCTCTCTGGTCTGTCTCTGGTCTCTCTCTGGTCTCTCTCTGGTCTCTGGTGTCTCTCTGGTCTCTCTCTGGTCTCTGGTCTCTCTCTGGTCTCTCTCTGGTCTCTGGTGTCTCTCTGGTCTCTCTCTGGTCTCTGGTGTCTCTCTGGTCTGTCTCTGGTCTCTCTCTTGTCTCTGGTCTCTCTCTGGTCTCTGGTGTCTCTCTCTCTGGTCGCTCTCTTGTCTCTGGTCTCTCTCTGGTCTCTGGTGTCTCTCTCTCTAGTCGCTCTCTTGTCTCTGGTCTCTCTCTGGTCTCTGGTCTCTCTCTGGTCTCTCTCTGGTCGCTCTCTTGTCTCTGGTCTCTCTCTGGTCTCTGGTGTCTCTCTTGTCTCTGGTGTCTCCCTGGTCTCTCTCTGTTTTCTGGTCTGACATGTCTGACACTGGGACAAACTAAACATTTGTATTTATTTACAGCAGATGTTGTGATGTCACTTGATAGATATGAGCATCAAGCCATGATGAGTTTACAGCAACACTGTAGGACACAATCTCCTGAGGGCGTGGCAGCATGAGGCTCTGTGATTGGCCAGATTGTTGCCACGGTGACCACAGAACATCCCTGGATGCCGGCTCTTACCATTTCTGAGAATTCGTTGCTGCCCAAATCCAACCGCTCCAACTGCGTCAGTCTGTGTATGGACCTGAGGACCACAAGTGTCACATTTAACTACTCTTTCTGGTCTGTCTCTGGTCTCTCTATGGCCTCTCTCTGGTCTCTCTCTCTGGTCTGTCTCTGGTCTGTCTCTCTGGTCTGTCTCTGGTCTGTCTCTCTGGTCTGTCTCTGGTCTGTCTCTCTGGTCTCTCTCTCTGGTCTGTCTCTGGTCTGTCTCTCTGGTCTCTCTCTCTGGTCTGTCTCTGGTCTGTCTCTCTGGTCTGTCTCTGGTCTGTCTCTCTGGTCTGTCTCTGGTCTGTCTCTCTGGTCTGTCTCTGGTCTGTCTCTGGTCTCTCTCTCTGGTCTCTCTCTCTGGTCTGTCTCTCTGGTCTCTCTCTCTGGTCTGTCTCTGGTCTGTTGGTGGTCTCTCTCTCTGGTCTGTCGGTGGTCTCTCTCTCTGGTCTGTCGCTGGTCTCTCTCTCTGGTCTGTCGCTGGTCTGTCTCTCTGGTCTGTCGCTGGTCTCTCTCTGGTCTCTCTCTCTGGTCTGTCTCTATGGTGACAAAAGAGAGAAAATCCAGATGTGAGGCCGAACAACTGACCAATCAGGAGCCTTCTGTTTAAGTTGGGATCGGCTTCTTTAAAGACCTTATGACGGGTTTTTAAAAAAAAAATAGTGGATATCAAAATGGCATGACAATGTCAATTTGAAAGAGATTCCGGCAAAAAAAATCCTGTATTTTATAAAAAGAACGTGTTTTTCATGAATTTAAGTTGTCTATGCTCTAACCTGTGTGTGACGTCAGAGCGGGTAACGCCCATGCATTGAAAACCATGGATCTATGCCACAGGACTGCCTTTTCTCTCTTCTCTCCACTGATGCCCAACACAATACTGCCCTCTACAGGTGACAATTGCTCATTACACATAAATTGCCGTTTTGAGTGTGAAAAAATGTCCGAGGTGGGATTTGAACCCAAGTATCTGGATTGGCAGTCCATCGACACAACCACTGGACTATCTCAGTGACAGTGAAATGATACATTCTAGTAGTTATCTTAGACTCGCTGTACACCGCCTTGTCATCTTGAATATCCGCGAAAAAAGAACGAATACCAAATTGTAAACAACTTACAGCGTTGAAACGTACCCACTCTGACGTCACCAAGGGCTGTGAAGTTTTTTCGTCTCTAAGGGCGTTGCTAGGGGGTTATTTCGATTTGGGGGGATCAGACAAAAAAAACAACAACTGATTTTGAAACCTTTAGTAGTTCTCTTCTAATATAAAATGGTATTAAAACTGTATTTCTAAATAAATCAAACCCGTCATAAGGTCTTTAAGGCTAACTCCACTGTGATGTCACACTCGGTCCCCTTCTAACAGACAGACTGTGCTTTTCCCCGTCTCTATTTCTGTGTCCACTCAAACCAATCCCAACCCAAAAAAACACATATTTGTTTTTGCATGTTCTCTCTTTACTTTGGAAGTGTCTTCAGGTGGTTTTCTCTCAGCTCCAGGATCCGTAGTTTGGAAAGTCTGAAATAACAGAACACAGAGATCAGCACCAGAACAGACTAATCCAAAACATAAGACCAGCATGAAGACCGCTTTAAACCTGCTTGAGTCCTGCTTTGGTCCTGCTTTAGTCCTGCTTTAGTCCTGCTTTAGACCTGCTTTAGTCCTGTTTTAGTCCTGCTTTAGACCTGCTTTAGTCCTGCTTTAGTCCTGCTTTAGACCTGCTTTAGTCCTGCTTTAGTCCTGCTTTAGACCTGCTTTAGTCCTGCTTTAGACCTGCTTTAGTCCTGCTTTAGTCCTGCTTTAGACCTGCTTTAGTCCTGCTTTAGTCCTGCTTTAGTCCTGCTTTAGACCTGCTTTAGTCCTGTTTTAGTCCTGCTTTGGACCTGCTTTAGTCCTACTTTAGTCCTGCTTTAGTCCTGCTTTAGACCTGCTTTAGTCCTACTTTGGACCTGCTTTGGATCTGCTTTAGTCCTGCTTTAGTCCTGCTTTAGTCCTGCTTTAGTCCTGCTTTAGACCTGCTTTAGTCCTGTTTTAGTCCTGCTTTAGTCCTGTTTTAGTCCTGCTTTAGTCCTGCTTTAGACCTGCTTTAGTCCTGTTTTAGTCCTGCTTTAGTCCTGTTTTAGTCCTGCTTTAGACCTGCTTTAGTCCTGCTTTAGACCTGCTTTAGTCCTGCTTTATTCTCTTCTTAAAAGTTTTGACATTTTTGGTTCTCTGTCGTTGCTGTGGTTACTGGGGTTGCAATGGTTGTTGTTGTTGTGATTAATATGGTTGTTGTGGGCTGTGGTTTCCGTGGGTAATATTGCCATGTTTTCTGTGGTTGCTGTGGTTACTATAATCATGCTTGGCATCCTTTTGACTGTTGTCGTTGCTGTGGATACTATCATCGTGGTTGGTTGTGGTCTCCGTGGTTACTGTGGCTGTGATCGGTCGTGGTTGCCGTGGTTACTGTGGCTGTGGTTGGTTTTGGTCGCCCTGGTTACTGTGGCTGTGGTTGGTCATGGTTGCCGTGGTTACTGTGGGTGTGGTCGGTCGTGGTTACCTGCCAAAGTTTGCCGGGAGGTACTCGAGGAAGGCGTCGTTGAGGAAAAGCTGCGTGAGGTTTAGAAGCTGCGTGAAGCCCTCGGGAAGTCTGAGACCAGAGGAGAGACCCGGTTAGACCGAGGCCACGGCTGCCCTGGGACAGACTGACAGGACAGGACCATAGCCTGTACACAGATAAACAATGCTAACATGCTAGCTCAATGAAGTGAAAGTAGATGAAGTTTGGCTCCAACTCGCTCTGCCTCCTATTGACTTACATGTACAAGCTAGCTCATTAAGCTAGCTCATTAAGCTAGCTCAGTAACCGTTTGTGTCACACTCTCCATGGTTTATCGCTCTCTGTGATCCTGGTGTTTATGTTGTGATGTTGTCTTTGTAAATACAGAAACTACCCCTAACAACCGACCAATCAGGAGCCTTTTTACACAGAATGTGGCAGAATTTTTGCATCGAGACCAGCGCTGCTCCTGATTGGTTCTTGGAAACTCAGCTGTAGCTACCAACAACAATTGTATACCTTTGGCTCCACTTCCCGCTCAAATAGCATGTTTGAGTTAGCTTCAGGGTTAGCTTCTTCATAAGGCAAACACTACGGTAACGATAGACCTGGGTCAGTCCACTCCTGCGTGTGATAAAATATGAGGAAATAAACGCTTAAATCAAGTATTTTTATTTTAAAGGCAGAAACCATTTAGTTTTATTTCAAGAACTGTTTTTTATTTTCTCATTCCAAGGGAGACATTTCTTGTATCCGTCTAAAACATGACTATTTTGCTTTGTTCCATTTACAAATATAGTTTAAGGCTTAGTCAGAGTGTTTTGTGATTATGGATATATTTAGCCAAATCTGAGCAATTTTTGACATATTTTTCATCACTTGTTGCAGTGTGAAAAAGGCACTGTATTAAACTGGTTCAGGTCCTATCTTGGTGACAGGTGTTTTTCAGTCCACTTTGGGCCCTACAAGTCTGGCCTGGCTCCCCTCAATTCTGCCTTTAAACCCACCTCAGTGTCAATGTCAACACTGCTAGACTGTCTCCAGGAAGTGAGAACTTGGCTGGCCCAAATTTGGTTTAATCTCAACGAGAATAAAACTGAAATAGTTGTTAGTCCCTGTGGACCTCAGGCCCTCGGTGCACTCTCTGCTCACGTCCATTCCTCTGCTAGAAACTTGGGAGTTATTTTTGATAGCACCTTGAGTATGGACAAGAAAATTAATTCAGTGATCAAAGCCAGGTCGATCAGCTCCGGGTCTTGAGCAAAGTGAAGGTTCACATCCCTCTGACTTTGAGTTATCCACCTTTTTATTTATTCTAGGTTCCATTACTGCAACTCGTTGTTCTGTGCTGGCCTCACTTCACTGGCTCACAAGGACAGAGAGAGCACATCACCCCCGTGCTGGCCTCACTTCACTGGCTCACAGGGACAGAGAGAGCACATCACCCCTGTGCTGGCCTCACTTCACTGGCTCACAGGGACAGAGAGAGCACATCACCCCTGTGCTGGCCTCACTTCACTGGCTCACAGGGACAGAGAGAGCACATCACCCCCGTGCTGGCCTCACTTCACTGGCTCACAGGGACAGAGAGAGCACATCACCCCTGTGCTGGCCTCACTTCACTGGCTCACAGGGACAGAGAGAGCACATCACCCCTGTGCTGGCCTCACTTCACTGGCTCACAGGGACAGAGAGAGCACATCACCCCCGTGCTGGCCTCACTTCACTGGCTCACAGGGACAGAGAGAGCACATCACCCCTGTGCTGGCCTCACTTCACTGGCTCACAGGGACAGAGAGAGCACATCACCCCTGTGCTGGCCTCACTTCACTGGCTCACAGGGACAGAGAGAGCACATCACCCCTGTGCTGGCCTCACTTCACTGGCTCACAGGGACAGAGAGAGCACATCACCCCTGTGCTGGCCTCACTTCACTGGCTCACAGGGACAGAGAGAGCACATCACCCCCGTGCTGGCCTCACTTCACTGGCTCACAGGGACAGAGAGAGCACATCACCCCCGTGCTGGCCTCACTTCACTGGCTCACAGGGACAGAGAGAGCACATCACCCCCGTGCTGGCCTCACTTCACTGGCTCACAGGGACAGAGAGAGCACATCACCCCTGTGCTGGCCTCACTTCACTGGCTCACAGGGACAGAGAGAGCACATCACCCCCGTGCTGGCCTCACTTCACTGGCTCACAGGGACAGAGAGAGCACATCACCCCTGTGCTGGCCTCACTTCACTGGCTCACAGGGACAGAGAGAGCACATCACCCCCGTGCTGGCCTCACTTCACTGGCTCACAGGGACAGAGAGAGCACATCACCCCCGTGCTGGCCTCACTTCACTGGCTCACAGGGACAGAGAGAGCACATCACCCCTGTGCTGGCCTCACTTCACTGGCTCACAGGGACAGAGAGAGCACATCACCCCTGTGCTGGCCTCACTTCACTGGCTCACAGGGACAGAGAGAGCACATCACCCCTGTGCTGGCCTCACTTCACTGGCTCACAGGGCAGAGAGAGCACATCACCCCTGTGCTGGCCTCACTTCACTGGCTCACAGGGACAGAGAGAGCACATCACCCCTGTGCTGGCCTCACTTCACTGGCTCACAGGGACAGAGAGAGCACATCACCCCCGTGCTGGCCTCACTTCACTGGCTCACAGGGACAGAGAGAGCACATCACCCCTGTGCTGGCCTCACTTCACTGGCTCACAGGGACAGAGAGAGCACATCACCCCTGTGCTGGCCTCACTTCACTGGCTCACAGGGACAGAGAGAGCACATCACCCCTGTGCTGGCCTCACTTCACTGGCTCACAGGGACAGAGAGAGCACATCACCCCCGTGCTGGCCTCACTTCACTGGCTCACAGGGACAGAGAGAGCACATCACCCCTGTGCTGGCCTCACTTCACTGGCTCACAGGGACAGAGAGAGCACATCACCCCCGTGCTGGCCTCACTTCACTGGCTCACAGGGACAGAGAGAGCACATCACCCCCGTGCTGGCCTCACTTCACTGGCTCACAGGGACAGAGAGAGCACATCACCCCCGTGCTGGCCTCACTTCACTGGCTCACAGGGACAGAGAGAGCACATCACCCCCGTGCTGGCCTCACTTCACTGGCTCACAGGGACAGAGAGAGCACATCACCCCTGTGCTGGCCTCACTTCACTGGCTCACAGGGACAGAGAGAGCACATCACCCCTGTGCTGGCCTCACTTCACTGGCTCACAGGGACAGAGAGAGCACATCACCCCTGTGCTGGCCTCACTTCACTGGCTCACAGGGACAGAGAGACCACATCACCCCTGTGCTGGCCTCACTTCACTGGCTCACAGGGACAGAGAGAGCACATCACCCCCGTGCTGGCCTCACTTCACTGGCTCACAGGGACAGAGAGAGCACATCACCCCTGTGCTGGCCTCACTTCACTGGCTCACAGGGACAGAGAGAGCACATCACCCCTGTGCTGGCCTCACTTCACTGGCTCACAGGGACAGAGAGAGCACATCACCCCTGTGCTGGCCTCACTTCACTGGCTCACAGGGACAGAGAGAGCACATCACCCCTGTGCTGGCCTCACTTCACTGGCTCACAGGGACAGAGAGAGCACATCACCCCTGTGCTGGCCTCACTTCACTGGCTCACAGGGACAGAGAGAGCACATCACCCCCGTGCTGGCCTCACTTCACTGGCTCACAGGGACAGAGAGAGCACATCACCCCTGTGCTGGCCTCACTTCACTGGCTCACAGGGACAGAGAGAGCACATCACCCCCGTGCTGGCCCTCACTTCACTGGCTCACAGGGACAGAGAGAGCACATCACCCCTGTGCTGGCCTCACTTCACTGGCTCACAGGGACAGAGAGAGCACATCACCCCTGTGCTGGCCTCACTTCACTGGCTCACAGGGACAGAGAGAGCACATCACCCCTGTGCTGGCCTCACTTCACTGGCTCACAGGGACAGAGAGAGCACATCACCCCCGTGCTGGCCTCACTTCACTGGCTCACAGGGACAGAGAGAGCACATCACCCCTGTGCTGGCCTCACTTCACTGGCTCACAGGGACAGAGAGAGCACATCACCCCTGTGCTGGCCTCACTTCACTGGCTCACAGGGACAGAGAGAGCACATCACCCCTGTGCTGGCCTCACAGGTACATTCAGGGTTGGTTTTAAGATTCTGATGCTTGTTTTTAAGTGTTTAAAGGGTTTGGCGCCTGTGTATCTGTCAGAGCTGTGATCAGTGAGGTCTGAAAGCCAGCTTCTGTTGAACGTGCCTCGGTCTCGTCTCAAAACTCGATGAGACCGAGCCTTTTCTGTTGCTGTCTCTACCCCGGTCCATTAGAGCAGCTCCTTCAATGGAAGTTCCTAAGTCGAGTTTAAAGACACATTTTTACGCCTTGGCTTTTGACACCAACAGAGTTTTACCATTTCACTTTTACTTGTTTGTGTCTGTATTTTATTCTGTTTTATTTTATTGAAGTTGACATTGACATTGGTAGGCTCTGGACGGGACACGCTGCGGCGGTGGCCACGGCTGCCCTGGGACAGACACTTTCGTTCTGTGATCCTGGGTCTGTTTGTGTTTGTGGTTTTCCGTCTCCTCCGGTGTCGTCTTTCTGAAGCAGCTGCAAAGGAACATTACTCTGACAAAAGCAGAAAATAAATAAATACTAAATGATGAGTCAGCAGCGTCCGCTTCTCTCTCTCTCTTTGTTAAGTCTCTCACACAAACATTTTTCATCTGAGAAACTGCTATTTAAAGATTTTAGTATTTGGGTGAAGTTAGGTTTGTGATGTGAGAGCTGTTGTTACATTTGGAGAGACCAGAGAGAGACCAGAGAGAGACTAGAGAGAGAGCAGAGAGAGACCAGAGAGAGACCAGAGAGACCTGAGAGAGACCTGAGAGAGAGCAGAGAGAGACCAGAGAGAGACCTGAGAGAGAGCAGAGAGAGAGCAGAGAGAGACCAGAGAGAGACCTGAGAGAGAGCAGAGAGAGACCAGAGAGAGACCAGAGAGAGACTTGAGAGAGACCTGAGAGAGAGAGACCTGAGAGAGAGAGACCTGAGAGAGACCAGAGAGAGACCTGAGAGAGACCAGAGAGAGACTTGAGAGAGACCTGAGAGAGACCAGAGAGAGACCAGAGATAGACCAGAGAGAGAGACCAGAGAGACCAGAGAGAGACCAGAGAGAGACCAGAGAGACCAGAGAGAGACCAGAGAGAGCCCAGAAAGAGACCTGAGAGAGCAGAGAGACTTGAGGGAGACAGACCAGAGAGACCAGAGACCTGAGAAAAACCAGAAAGAGAGACCAGATAGAGAAAGTGACCAGAGAAAGAGACTAGAGAGGGAGTCCGGAGAGAGGGACCAGAGAGAGACCAGAGAGAGAGACATCACTGCAGAGCCTCCATCTTTCCTACACCCAACAACAAAAAGAGACCAAGAGAAGACCGGGACCACTACACCCTGAGAGAACCATGGGACCAAGACCTCTAGGACCAGGACCTCTGCACCTGGGCAGTGGCAGTGGTCTTTCTCTGGTCCAGAACAGTTTTGATCGAGCCAACAAGCAAACATCCTCAGTGGAGAGTACATCCTGTGGTCACCAAACCGGACCATAGAGACCAGAACCAGGACCAGTGAGTTCTGTTGGTCAGTCTTGTTGGAAAATCCGACTGTTTCTTTACCTGCTGGTTCAGACACAGCCCTGGTGGAAGGATGAGGGGATGGAGGGTTGATGGTTGGATGACTGTATGGATGAGATGATGGTTGGATGAGCTGAGGACCAGGTGGACGGTAGAGGACCAGGTGAGCAGATGGGGGTTAGGCAGTGTTAGGCTCTTACTTGGTGATGGGGTTAACACTGGCCTCTACCACAGACAGGCCTTTACAGCACTTGATGTTATCTGGAAACTCCTGGATCCCTGTTTCACCAACACACAGAGGTTAGTGCGGTTAGACCGGAGGGGTTCTGGGTCTACAGCCTCAGTCCTGGGTCTTCTACAGCCTCAGTCCTGGGTCTACAGCCTCAGT